TCGTGGACGCCTCTTCGAAATTGAACTTTTCCGTCGTCTCACTACATTAACAAGGACCACACAATCCTGAACGATCGCCTACCACTCACCAGTTAAGGAGTCGGTGGAATGATTTCACGACAGTTGGAGGCTTCACTCTATGCTACAAATGTATATTGTGGACTGACGCCCTTCCACTCAGGTTACTTATTATTTGCAATGCAGTGAAAGCTGACATTGGGTGCAATACAGCACAACTCGTTCGCGTAATGACCCCTCGACTTCCAGCAGAATTTGTTGGTCCTTCGCCATCTCCAATAAATACGGATCTACACTCACGGTCAACTAACGTTTCGTCCAACTCAACCTACGACTGAGACCATACGTTCTCGCACGCCACTACTCAGTACGACAACCACTCGAAATGATATACAAAGGACGCTTCAAAGTTCTTCATTGCAAACATTGAGAATATGCCACAGATAAGAATGGGACTACTGATAACATCAACATTAACCGCCTTAGAGCATTTTTCTTACAAGGAAACCCCAATTATATTGACTTTCCTTCTGAACAATCGAACGACACAATCTTCACAACTATGACCCGACCCTGGGTAACCAACGACTACGACAAACTTATCTGGCTTTGATAACTGACCCTAAACGACGCGCTCCGGATGAACTGCACCGTTTCGAAAACACGGAAACGACTATTGCATGTCGGATATTGCGTAACTTTTTATTTTATCTCATTTTAGGTGCACCAACATTATTTGATTGTACTCTCAGCTTTTTAATACCATTATGTCAATGAATTTGTTTTGTCTCCAACATGCCTTTCTGTGTGTGCTTCGTTGCATTTCATGGCCCCTAATGTTAGGGGAAGATGACCATACACTGCTGAACATATCGTCCAATCAAGAAAGTGTTTACTAACGGCAGGCTGGTTGTGTTTAAACTTCTGGCTGACCACACTTTAGAGACACCACTACATTGCTACGGATGAAGTAATTTGTAGAGGTAGATGAATCCACAAAAAGTAAATAGTTCTGAATTTCTTCACCACTGAAGCTGAACTGATTAGATTTGATGGAAGCACCCTAGGTGAAGGCCGTCTGTCACACGTCTGCACCAGATTACTAATTGGTATACCATGCTACTCTTCTTTACTGACTTCTGATTCGACTTTGTCCGAGATCTTTCGAATATTAATGCGTTACTGGTGATGGCGTTGTCAAACTCAGAATTTCTGCGGCATCTTTAGCTGAAGGAAAGACGAGTCATTTATTTGCTAAACTGATTTCCTGTTATCCCGATAATCAAAATTAAAATACCTATTAACTCGTAGAAAAGCCAAACGTCTCAGGTCTCTTGTTTTATGGTAAATCAGACACATCTGACCTACTTTTTCCTTACCCAGTTTTCAGTTGATTGAGTGAAACTTGAACTAAGACGTGAGCTCGCGCTTGATATACTTACGTTTATTTGAATCTTCCTACGTAATTTTTGAATAGCACGACTAATTCCTTTTTCGATATCGTATAATTTTTTTCCTTTTTTCGCTTCTCACAACCACGTCGTTGTACTTTCTGCTTTTCATAGTATCGTGGCAAGAACAAAACCGCTTTGCTCTTTAATGAAGTTATACACTTTTGTGTCTCATTTTTTCTAAAATCTTTCAAAAATTTTCCGCCTCTTGCTGTCACATTGTATATTCACATATATATCAGCGTTTTTCCACATCTGATCGCTACACATTTATGAGTGTACTTTGATATGGTCTCACATTTTTATTTATTTGTTTTCCAGTGCAACTGAAAAAAAGAAATACCGGAGAATTCGATAAAAGAGCTTCATTGAACCCCAAATATCTTTACCACCCTCAAGACAGCGCTTATGACATGTATAATTCTGTATCGTACTTTCGTATAGCGTAACGCCTTGGCTCGTCTCTTTTCATACAACTGTCCTAAAGCTCAATAAACAACAAATTTAAAATGGTGATTCTGAACGTCTACTTTAATGAAGTTCAGTGCGTTTAAGTGCATGTAATTCTAGTTGATTATTTTTCGTAGGCAATTAATAGAATGGCATATCTAAACATTATCTGATGTAGATGCCCAATCAAGCGCTTTCTGCGAAGGGTACGTTCAGCAGCACTAACACAGTATAGTTATTAAGGACAAAGTGATCGATTTGTAAATATATATATATATGTTGTTACATTTCCTTGGAATTTTTGGTAGGATAGTGGAAATGCACTATTGGAGTCGAGAGATTTCGACTCTTGTTGCATTCTTTCTGAATCTTGTGGATGAAAAGAATTAATTAGTAGATATAGAAATCATCAATTGTACTATTTTTGAAAATAAAGTTGATGTACAACCTTCTTTTGTAAGGTCTATTGACTGTTTCCTACGAATGCTTGGGAAACTTTTATGTGGCCACTTGCATGTTCCAATATAAGTGTATTTACTATTAAATGTTGTTTAGTTTTTAAAACGTAAAACAACTTGTTCGTGTGGAGACATCGCATCACCTCAGTCCCCCTGCGAAACAGAGAAAATATGGAGTTTACGTGGGGGAAAAGTGAGGTTTATCCTCTAATGCGAATGAATTTGCAATCGGTCTTTCTTGAGCACGTTTCAAGAGGGAAACAGCTTTCTTATGACTTAATCTTATGATCAAGAAATCTTTGGCAGACGGAGTTTTAAGTATATACTTTAAATGGTTTTGTGTTACCCGTTGCGTTGTACTGTAGGTTTGGGAGATGTAATATGCACTATGCAGTCGATACACCCTGTCTCAGTATCTTGGGACTAATATCCAGGCAGTCAGAGATTATGTCGCCTCAGTGAACTGTTTGGTTGACTTTGATGAGTTGATCAAAGACGAATTGAGTGAGTTTAAAACCACATTGAATCCCATAACAAGACCAACACGTCAGCTATCACGTCACTTTCCATGAACCGGTAGGGAAATCCGAAAGCCACTGTGGCATAGGAAACATGCTGAGGGATCGATATTCTTAACAATCCTCGGATCATTTAAATGAAAGTACAGAAAAATCTGAAATATATGTAAACAGATTGAAGCTAAATCTCTCGTTAATCAAGAAAGGAAGTTGACACAAGGCAGATAAACTAGTAAGAAAAGATTCTCTGATCCGCTACATAAAAAACAAAATGTTGTGACAGAATTCCTGCATCACTGTTGCAAGAGGATCAAGATATCTTGAAGGAATCAGAAAAAGTCTAGGATATTTCGGTGAAGTCTAATTTGAGTGAATAGTTATTAATACTTACCATTAGTACACTGTTAAGGTACCAGTTATCGGACCAGTCTCTGTTACTGATGAAGCTATTGTTCAGTCACCTATGAACCTTAAAAGTTTGGGTTCATAAAATAATTCTAGAAAAAGCATACTAACTTACTTTGGGCACAAAAATGATCACTCGCATACTATCGATTCTTAATCTCACCAAACTAACAAAATGACCTGTGAGTAGTAGGGAGCCAGTATTCGAAAGCAGCCCCGACCACCTAACCGAGCGTTCTAATTCTTTGATGAAGATATGCTTCCGATTTATTGCTCACTTGTGTGACTTACTTACTTACGCCTGTTACTCCCAATGGAGCATAGGCCGCCGACCAGCTTTCTCCAACCCACTCTGTCCTGGGCTTCCTTTTCTAGCTCTATCCAGTTCTTGTTGATTCTTCTCATGTCTGTTTCTATTTCTCGGCGTAATGTGTTCTTTGGCCTTCCTCTTCTCCGTTGACCTTCAGGATTCCATGTGAGGACTTGTCTTGTGACGCAATTAGCTGATTTCCTCAAGGTGTGCCCAATCCACTTCCAGCGCTTCTTCCTGATTTCTTCCTCTGCTGGAATCTGGTTTGTTCCCTCCCACAGTAACTTATTGCTGATAGTGTCTGGCCATCGGATCCGAAATATTTTGCGTAGACAGCTGTTGATGAACACTTGTATCTTCTGGATAATGGCTTTCGTATTTCTCCACGTCTCCGCCCCATACAGTAGAACTGTCTTGACATTTGTATTCAAAATTCTAACCTTGGTGTTGGTTGACAATTGTTTTGAGCTCCAGATGCTTTTCAGTTGTAGGTATGCTGCTCTTGCTTTGCCGATCCTCACCCTCACATCTGCATCTGATCCACCGTGTTCATCAATGATGCTGCCCAGATATGTAAAGGTTTCCACTTGTGTGACACTTCACTTAAAATATTGATTCCGAGCAGTCAATAAATGTTTTATGAAGGTCGTTTAAACACTGGAACATTTCTGTTGCGTGAGAATTAAGTTGGTAACAGATCTTTCTAAGCTCTTCTACTGTGAGGGATCGAAACGCTGAAAACTTCTCTGATGCGTGGTGACCTTATACTGACATTCCGTATTTCAGACGATGATTTGAATGTTGAGATATGCTATATTTTTGGTCTCGGAAATAACCACCTCCAAGGCCACAGTAATGAAGTTTTTAAAACATTGGTAAAATAAAGTCAGTGGATTCCAATCTTAACATTAATGTGGTCACGGATGATAACAATCTACTGAAACAATCGATATCAGCTTAATAGGAAAAAAAACACAGGGAGAAGCTGTACCTCCATATGATAATACTCTGTAAGAATTAACACATGTCAACCTGATAACTATCGTTACCGTGAAAAATTGAAGTGCTTATATGTGATGAGGTATTACTTTTACATCCTACATCAGAGATTATGAAATCCAGTTCCTTTGACGGAAAGTGGACAAATCAGTTAATCAGAATAGACAAAGATCGATGTTTCTGTTCGTTAAGATTGATATGTAGACACGATAAGACCCTGACAACACTGAAACATTAATTTTTTCAAGCTACCGCAAGAGATCTGTAAATAAGTCATCTAAGTATCTTGTCGTCTAACTTTAGTGTTTAAGATGTTTTCTTCATTAAAAAAAGTTGTGAAACTGTCTAATGATCTCAAATACCTAATAGAAAGTTTTGGCTACTTCTGAGTACTGTAGAGCGCAGTTTTACGATTGGTTCGCTACCTTGTCTGGAGTATCACACTTGAGATACTATTATGTAGAATACTTTTCATCGCATTAGATTGTAAAGGGTTAGGAAGTTGTTATCAAAGGAGTCTGGAGAATGCGAAATCTTAGGATATTTGGAGTACTATAATGCTGATGGAAAGTTTGGAACCGATTTTACGCCCCGCCGATGTAGCTTCCTTTTTACTTTTGTCGTATATATGCATTCAGTATATAGGTTCGTTTCTTGTTTCTGGTAAAGATCATCATGAAAGAGCTGAAATAGTGCGTCAAAAGTTGGAAGCGGCTCGCGTAAGTTGGAAAATTGTTTGTCTGAAGGAAATTTCTGATCACATTAGTATTCGTATGATATACTTCTTGTAACTTTTCCCCCCAAAGCTGCGGATCCTGAAAGTTTTTGGGTAAACTTTTGGACAAAATTTTAGACTCAGGAAAAGTTTGAGTAAATTCTGTGAAAAACCCAATCCCTCGAATTTAGAGAAATTTTAGGGTTTTCTCCAAAATTATATGAAATTTTAGAAATAACCATCAAACCAACAGAAACTCTTGGGTTTCAGTTGCATACTCCTAAATTTTGTGGTGCGGTTTGTCCAAAACTGTTAACATCTTTCCCTAAGTCGCGAGAGTGGGAAGTTCTAGTCTCTGGGAAAGCTTGGGTGAATTCAATAGAAATCCTACATGTAGGTGGATTTCGGGACTCCCGGTTGGTTTTTGCCAAAGTGTGCGCAAGCGTCTCAATGGAGCTGTGTCAAAATCGATTAATTTTGTCCCGAAGTTCGGAGCTTGCAGTATATATTTGTAGCAATGTGACTTGCCTATGTTAGAAAATTCATAATTTGCGCAGACTTGGTTTTGTAACTTATTTCAGTTGTCACTTATTCAGGGTATTGAAATTCTAGGTATACGTTGCACCAAAATATTCTAAAACCATGAATTCTCTTAATTATATTAGGAAATACGGGGTATAAACCTGTCTTTACAGTCATGAAAGGTATCTAAATACCAACTTGTATTTAGATTTATTGGTACCATGAAACGATGTCAAGGGTCGCAAATCGGAATTCGGCGCATTGTCACTTTATCATTTCCAAGTTTTGGGGCAATTGAAAAAGGATTTTCAGTCTACTTTAAGTAACCAAAATTTAGTCAAGGTTTTCTGCTAAGCTTCTCTCAAATTGATACAGTATGTTACATGGCATTTTGATGGATTAAGCGTCAGTTCTTTGGTCTTTTTATGCCTATGGTCTGATGTTAACCAACAATACACTGGAAATGAACCATGATTTTTTAAAACGGACGCTGTCCTATTTTCCGTCATTTAACTGTATTCTTATTTTTTTGTTTTAGAAATATACCCACAGTAAACCAATTATCTTGCTGATATCTTTAAGTGGAGTTAAGGTTTGTCATGAAAATAAGGAGGTGAGGTTTATCATAAATTTCAACACGTATCTTATTTACAATGTAACTAGCGTAAAAGAGAGTAATTTCTTAACCTTGTTTGACACTTTGTAATTTCATTCAATGTTTTTTTCCAATGCTTTTGGAAGCGCGTTTATATGGCTCATGCACTTCGACGGATTTCGTATGCCACCTGTGACCCAGAAAATCTTCAGTTTGCCTTTCTTGCCAGGGAACCAAAAGCACAACCGAATGTCCAATATTGTCATGCTTTCGTCACAGTAACACCTGAGGCAGTAAGCTTTTAGCACCTTAGTGTCTTTTATTTATCATCTTTCATATCCAACACGGCGATTGTAATTTTTTAAAATTTGCTAACCTATGTGCTTTGTACCTGTAGTTGGACTCAAAGTAAAAAAAACGTGAAAATGTTCCAAGACACGGAAAAAATAGTGTGAATTAGTCTATTCCGTCGAAAAACGTATGAAGCTGATGAGTATAGGTTTTTTCATGTTCATATGATTGGTATTTTTGACACAATTTATGATGACTTGGGATACCACGTATGTCGAACATGTGCTGCGTAGCTGATAAAACAAGTTTTAATTAATGTCACTCATCCTCGTTACTGCGAACTAAAAAAGCTTTCATTGGCCAATGGTATTCATGGCTGTAATTTTAAGTTACACATGACAGTCTCTTCTTCTTAAGTTTAGGTCCTCTCCATCTTAAGTCATTTTAAATAAATGGTGTTTATATATGTGCTGATCAGATTTCTGCTTAATATCTGGTATACTTACCAAAGTTCAACGTTTTTCGGTTTTAAAACACGGATATATTTACTCACTTTGTTTGTTGGTTACATTTTTCAGTTTAAGTCATCCTCGTGATGGGCGATTATTGCTACTGTGAACTGTATCCATATACCTGTTAATTCTCAATAACTGGTCTGTAAATTGTAATGCATTCCAATCGTGTAGTCGTATTAGGTCAGGATATTTTCCAGAGCTTGTAAAGTATGGAGCCTTTGAGCTCAACCATCGTCTCATCACTTATCTGTTGTAAACGTTTTTTTATAAACGGAAATAAAAGATGACAACTCAGATGTGTATAAAAATTGCAGGCAATCAAACGTTAATTCATTTCCAGTAATACCTGCATGCTGTTCAACCTTGAAACAAAAGTGATGAGGTTCGTAGTTTTACGGGGCTGCGGAAGGTGTATTTTGAATAAGTTATATATTCCTTGCTTCTAACATTTTCTAGGAGCTTTCGAGATTCACTTTAGTCCCACACCGTATTTGTATACCTGTGTATATTTTTTCCCTTTCTGTGTTAATATGAAGTCCTGTGACATTTTCCAAAAATACCTTCGAAATTTTTTAGGCCGAGGAACTGAATACCATAATGGGAGAGGTTTTTCGCTTAGCGTATGCCCAGCAACGTCTTAATACAGTAACTAACAATCCTGTTTTGTTTCACCAGTTTGGTCAACATATACCAGTTTGTCAGGTTCAGCAAACTCCCATAACTGTCACATGTTCTGTTTCTGCTAACCAAAATAACTCAATGAGCACAAAATCTTCAAGGTTGGTATTCTGAGTTTACTCTTCTCTTTACTTTTTTGGAACATCTCTGCCGGTTTATACCATCAAATAATGACTGGAATTGTGACTTGAATCCCATTATGATTTACTGGGTCTTGGTTATTTTTTTCCAGTTAAGTTGTGGATTCAAGTCAGCAACACCAGATGAATAAAAGCGAGTGTAGACTAGTCACGATTTTATAAGCTTCTCACTTTCGACTGGGTTATCTAGTTTTATCGTCAATTATTGATAAAACTCCGGAGGCAACTACTCAGATATTAGACAGTGTATTTCACGAGAGGAGTTTTGGGAAATCGGCCATTTGCACATTAATGCTAAGTTTTTACGTTGTTTATGACTGATCGGTGTCAAAATCAAGGGTTTTCAGTTCACCGTGGTCTCAGTCTTATACCTAAAACCATTAATTTTAATAACGGCAAAAAGTGTCAAAAATGTGGTGCCTTAGGTACGAAAGTAGCTTTACTTAATAATTTCACCGGCATCAATGGCGTTCTCATTTTTATGAAATGTTTTTGAGTGATACTTTGCAACACTTTTAATAATCATAGAACAAAGTGATGATTCATCATAAATCCGATTAATTGCATCGGTTTATCCAGTAACTTAGTGGCTGCTTTTCATTTATTGAAATAGACATTTCTTTTAAGTAACTATCACTTGATAACACTGTTAGATAATCCATGATCTTCATGATCGTTTGCTTGATGGTTCTAGTAGATGCATTCAACTGCAGTCATTGAAACAAATATATCTTCTGTTTTTAGTTCTCTACACTGTCAATACCTGTAGTTCTTATTTCTCACACACTCAGTTTTAACCTTTGTCACTGTCACATCTGATGGTTTTATTTCCTAAATTATTTCAATTAATATAACTACAAACATAAGTGCTAAAGTGGAACAATAGGTACTATGAAATTCATTTATATTTGACATCTATTCGCGATAGAGTATATGTTCAAATCATAGTATTCCTAAAAATGTACTATCGAAAATGAGAATCACCTGGTAAAGTCTAGATATATAATGGCTAGTTATTTAAGTTAGTAGAGCTATGGGGTAGTTACTGTAGTACTTGAATTTCAACCAGTAGGTCGCGAGTTCAAATTTTGTTCCATTTACGTCAGTTTGGACAGCCTAGTAGTACTAATAATCCTCGCAAAAACAATGTAACTTAAGACGAGTATACAAGCATATACTCCTTGATAAAATTATATTAATTTAAGTTTCTAATTTAGTTATTTAGGTCACATTGTTTTTTTATACATTGATATACTCCAATATGTTGTTTAATGTCTGTTCCACATAATCCTGTTAGCTTGTTTCATTGTATTAATAAAGTTTCACGTTAATTTCGTTTATCATTACTTGTTTTTTAGTCAATCTGTTTACGCTGTCAACTTAAATCCGACCAATCAAATATCCATGACTAGCAAACTTCTTCCGCCTTTACCAGAAGCTGATCATTGTGCAGCAAGTAACCAGACACCTGTTTCTGTCCAGTCTGAAGTGAACAATACTCCTTCAAGTGAATTTTGTGCTGTCAGTGACAGACAGAAAGGAAGTAAACCTCACAAGTAATTAATACTACTAGATATCTGGTACCTTATTGACCCAACATTTCAAAATGTTTTTTTGAGCTTTGCTTGTTTACTTGCTGACCTTGCTCTCTATAAATCACTTTTGTTCAAATGACTTGCATAGTTCAAATTTTCAACAAGAAATTAGGATACTCATTCTATGGTCTGGTATTAATTGCCACGCGTCTCATAGTGCATTAGATCGTTTTAAAAAAAATCCTAAACAGATATCGATTGAGAGTGTCGGAAAAATATTGACCTATAAGTGGTTATTTTGCTCCAATTAATTTTTTTCACACTTACAAACATAATCTGTCAAAATTCAAAGAAAATATTTCAAAACTTCTTTTTGGGAACTTTACTCAATATTTAGTGTAGCTATCCTACATTACCATCAGTAAATTTTATTATGACAAGGATATATCATGTTTGCGCGACTGAACTGATTCAAATAAAGGCTAGTTGATAATTATTTAAAACGCTTCATTTTGTGGAAATCGTAAGACAAGATATTTGACCAGTTGAATCTTAAGTATACTTTTCTAATAAAATCTCATTATCATATGTATAACATTTCACATAAATATATGGACAATTAATTGTCATTTGGAATATATGGTACAATGCTTTTGAATCAATCGTCAGCTACTGGGATTATGACCAAACTGCGAAGCTTCATTCTTATCTGTCAGAGTAAATATCTGTCGTCGTCCTACAAACAATTTGCTTCACTGTGATGGTTAGCCTTGGTGAGTCAATCACTCTTATCATAAATTTCTGTTGTGTGTGATGGGTGCTACTTATGTCGACAAACATAAGCTATAGCTAATCTGAAACGAGGAAGGGCAACTGGTCCAGACGGATTGGCTTCAGCTGTGTTTAAAGATGGTGGTCCAATTTTAGCGATTAGGTTGACTAATATTTTAGCCGAAATCTGGAAGTTGGATGTAATGCCATTTGACTGGTCACAATCTCTGATTGTCCCAATATATAAGAAGGGATCAAAATCATCCTGTAATAACCATAGAGGGATTAGCTTGACTAATACAGCATCTAAAATACTAGCCTCAATAATTATCGGGCGCCTAACTAAGACTCGTGAACTTCAAACACGAGAAAATCAGACTCGCTTCTGACCTGATTGTGGCTGTATCGACCACATATTCACTATTCGTCAGGTGTTAGAACATAGGCATGCTTATCGGCGTCAGACAATGATAGTTTTTCTTGACTTAAAAGCAGCATTTGACTCTGTAGACTGAGAGGTTCTGTGTGGCAGTGTTTGTCTTTGAAAGGTGTATCTCAGGAGTACATAAACCTTGTGAAGGCTCTTTACTCGAACACTACCAGTCGAGTGAGAGCTTATGGCGAACTGTTATCTCATTTTACAACCTTAAGTGGTGTCCGTCAAGGTTGTCCACTATCCCCATTTTTGTTTAACTTCATCATATACCTACTGCTGGGAATAACGCTCTCGTCGACTGAATTTTCAGGGATTGATCTTCCACTAGGAGATCCACTTATCGACTTATAATACGCAGATGATATAGTCCTGTTTGGTGAAGACGTTGATAAAATGCTGAGTCTTTTAATAGCACTGAGCATCAATGCCAGGATGTTTGGAATGCGTTTACCTCCCTCTAACTGTAAATTGTTGCTCCAGAACTGGCCTGCGTCAACACCTGAACTAAGGATAAGGAGTGAAGCAGTCGAACACGTCGACAACTTCAACTATCTTGGAAGTCTGATCAGCCCTAATGGGTTGGTGTCTGACGAAATCTGTGCACGGATTCATAAAGATCATTTGGGTTTTACCAACTTGCGTCACCTATGGCGATGATGAGATATCCGTCTATCAACTAAGGGACGAGTATACTGCGCAGCAATTTGCTCTGTTCTACTTTACGGCTGGGAAACGCGGCCATTAAGGGTAGAAGATACTCGTAAGTTACTAGTATTTGACCACAGATGCCCTAGAAATATTGCTCGCATCTGCTGGGATCATCGGATAAGTAATGGTGAGGTTAGATACACGGTATTAGGGAATGATAGTAAATCAGTTGATGAGGTTTTGAATCTTCAAATGAGATGGTTAGGCCACGTGTTACGTATGCCTGAACACCGATTACCACGACGTGCAATGCTGACTAGCGTAGGGGATGGTTGGAAGAGAGTTAGGGGCGGCCAAACCAAAACATGGCATCAGTGCTTGAAGTTACTAACCTCTAGTCTGAGCCATGTTGGTAGATGCAGACTACTTGGTTGGGGTCCGTGTGACTATCGTAACCAATGGTTGGAAACTCTGTGTAACATGACTCAGAATCTATCACAATGGTGTGGGTGTATACACTAACTGCCGTCCCTTAAACTATGAGATTAAAATTGCTTCATACCTTTCTTTCTTCCTGTACTATATCCTTATATACAATCTTTTATATATTAGCACCATTAAATTAACTACTATGAATTCGGTGTTCATCTTGTGGTGCTAATGAGGTATGGCAATTTTGACCGATGCATATATGTGCCTGACCCTACGTTGTAGTTGACTGATTGACTGACGTTACAAGTTGTTTTATGCTTATCTCAAACATTCTTTTCATAGAAGCATTAAATACCTAAGTTCGTGCTATCTGATCTGTGTACGAGTCTTGTAAGGAAGCTATTCATTTACAATGTCAAAAGATGAATAGTAACTACATTACCACTGGCATTTTCAGTCACTACATATCCGGCTAGGTAATATATATATATATATATCATCACTTAATATCTGTATTTAAACGATTCACAGTTTGACTCAGTCATTAGCTGTTTAGATTTGTCGTTTTAGTATGAATTGCCCTTATTAATCCCTGAGTTGGTAAATTTCAAAGCCTTTTCGTAAAAGCAAGAAGCATTGTCCAATATAATTCATAGTTTCATTTGAGTTCGTAAATTACGAGTTGAAATCCTTCTCCATCTACTAGTTGTTTGAAAGATATCTGCACAATAGCCGTGCACACAAGCGTATATGGTTTCTGCTGATTATCCTTTTCATCACTTAATGTTACTTAATCCTTTATTAGTTCTACTTTGCTATCTACACTAAATTCATGTAAATCCGGTGTGCGAAAATGTTATCAACTGGTCTTCTTATTTAACTGGTAACTGGGTACCAATGACACTAACGCTGGTTTTTGTCTAGTAATATAATTGGCATCGGTACATTGTCACCCCAGTTTATTTACCAGCTACTAATTTTTTGGAGCACTTGGTGAATCACTTTCTAGGAGTTCCTCTATGTACATGGTTCCTAGCTCTATAAAGTCTTTCTGGAATGAATAAAGTTTGTTCAAAGTTTTGACGCTTTCTTAGTTGTGGAGTTACAAATAAATGATAAGAAGGCAGTTATTAAACAACTGAAATTTTATGTCGGGCTATAGTGGCTATTTTGAACAGCTATTCACGTTCTTACAATATCGATATATAATCCAGCCTCCTCTCCGAGATTACTTGTTTAGTTTTCAAAATGGTTTATTCAATTAGTCGTCAAGTAACTTCTATCAGAGTCTTGATATTTGTGGCCAGTTTCTGAATATCCAAAATATTAGATTAATTTGAAATACTTATTACTCTTACCAACATTATTGTTGCCATCTGTTACTCATTTCTCGGAAGGATCTTACAGTCTTAAAACGGATGAGTATTTAGATCTTGGTGCAATTCATACCCTTAAATATATCTAGTTATTATTTTTATTTTTTACAGACATAAACATCACAAACATCATCACCGTCATAAATTACGAGATGCAACAACAAGTACGTGCGAACAACTTTCAGGTTCGAGCGACTCTATTAACCCTACTATTCTCAAAGTTAATGAATCGGAAGGACCCATAATGAAGAGTGAGCAGATAAAGCCACCTCCCCCACCACCGCGTTCTCATTCATCAGTAACTTCATCTACGCAGCTCCCAGCTAAGAATATCACATCTACCCTGGCAGCAAATCACCAAAGTCCAGTTTTGAAGCATCATGAAAAATTACATGAAATGGAAGTAAATAAAACCCTCCATGAAATGACTGAAGATCTTACTGATGTTTTACCGTTAGGACCTAAATCTACGACATCTGCGTAAGTTAAATGTTTTTTAAAGAATTTTTCCTCCGTTTTATTACATCGATGAAGAATGTGATAGAATCATCTGTGCTGTTTGAATTCCCTCTCCTACGTCAGGACAGTAGCTTTTCTATAGTATTATGATGATTTCCTATTGACTACTCTTTACTGAATACGGAAACTAAATTCTAATTAATTGTCCCGAAGCAATCGCCTAACAGCTGAAACGCCCAAAATTCAGACAACTAGTTCTAACTGTTATATTTCAAGTGAGAGGAACAGACAGCAAACAAATAATGTAACTGAAGTACGAGTCACATTGTACTTGTGTATAAGACTTGTTCACTTCTCAGTGTTAATTGATTTATCTCCTTATATATGGAGCTAATAAAATGGTAAAAAGTTATTACAAATTTGATAAATCTTATATTAACAATTTGTGTTGTTTTGGTTTCTTAAATATCACTTAGACTGGCACAACACTTCTATGATATGGCTGATCATCGCAGCTGTGGTGGTATCGCTCTTGACAGAGAAACTCCTATTCCAGAAAAAGATATTCAAGAAAGTAATGCTCAGTTTATCAATGATAATGCTCCAGCTAATACGTCTACAGCAACCACAACGTCATCATCAACTACTGGGTGCTCAACTGCCACATCTGGCTCTGGTCATCCGGACTCGAGTTCCGATAATAGTTTACCAATTAGCAAACGCTGTACGTGCACTCCAGGTTGCACCAGTGGTGAACATACGTGCGTTATATTTGACAATAATCCGCATCCTGGAGATTCGAATCAGTTACTGAAACCCAATGAACAGCACCTTCCCGTTCCTCCCACATCTCCATGCTCCACTCCAAACGTTCCTGCACAAAATGTTCTTGACGACATCAATGAGTTGTCTCATGCTCCTTGGTACCTTCCAGATTTACCCCGTGAAAAGGCTTTGGAAATGCTTGCCAAACAACCTGTATGTTTATCCTCCATATGCATATTTTTGAATGGGTTTTGTTTGTGTTATAATTTTTCTTGTTACAACCTAGCCACTCCTATTGCTTAGTATTCTTAGACACTACTTCACTTGGCAAGTCTCCAAATCAGAACACGGTTGAACAGGAACCTAATTATATTCCAAATAAAAAGTTTATATGGAAGTAGGAATCACAATAAGAGAAACGTTAGTATATTTATAGTTTTTTACATGAGAGGATTCTAGAGTCTTATCCAAGTATTCACCAGCACCGATTGGATAAGAAATAGCCAATAAATGTACCATAACATAATCCTGCACGGAACGTGCACGTAATTTATATTCTGCTAACAGTTTACCTCACTATCATACCGTGGACTATTGGAAATAGCTCTGTTATGATGATTATGGGGTAAATATACTTCCGAAGTACTTCATTGCGAACAGTTAATTGCTATTTATTTCAAATAAAATGATTCACTAAATTACTAAGGTTATCATTAAAAAAATACTTATTATTACTAAGTGGTCTGAAAGAGCTATTTAATTACTTTTTAAATTATTCTGACCCCAAAATCTGTATGTTTAGTCTTTGCAAATAATTTGTACTTATAGTGCATTGATGAGTATATATTTATTATTTAGACCTAAAACTCAAACTCAATCTCTTTAAATGCTTTCTGGTAATATCTTTTCCGATAACATGTATTTCTTTAGTCATTCTAGTCTACGCTTTTTATGTTTTATCTGAAAGAAGAATAAGCGAATGGTATTTGCTAGTGCTGGTTGGTGTGTTATTGGTTAAGCTCAGGGAAAAGTTAATAGAAGTCGATGTTCCGTTTGGTGATCTTGTCACGCGATATTTGACAGGACCAAAAGCAAACCATAACAATTGGTGACGTGGACCTCGGAAAAAAGCCATAATAATTGGCGGAGATTTTGAAAAAAAAGCAATGACAAATCTCAAAGTATAATATTGCGTGCCAGGGATTTATAATTGAAAAAAAATCCTGCACCCAGTAAATGGCTGCTCTCATCAGGAAATAAGGATATTTGATATCCACACTTGTCGACCGAATATTTGACAACGTGCAACAGAAAAATAAAATAAAAGTCTGTTTCTGCGGAGAAAATGAAGACACTTTTACAGCATTAACAGCGGAGTTTCAAAAATTGGTTGGAATTCACAGAAAAATTACGAACAGGACTGCTGAATCCTCCACATTTTAGAGATATGACGGAAATTGATGAATCGATCTTTAAAATGCATACAGTAGCGGCAAATGCCTGCAGAATGAATTTATCAGTGAGGAGCTTCAGGAATTGTTGACAAACAGTAATGCAAATGATACAGTAGCAGTTGTACACGATCCTCCCAGTGGTTGAGTGATGGTCGTTTCAGAAACATACCCTATGATGGGTTCAAGTCCAGTTATGCCCGAAGTAGAATGTACAATTAATGAGTCGTCCAGCTCACAACAAGATAATTTCTTATTAAATGCCCAGGGCATTGTGGTAGCACCGGAGGACCAAGAACAAAAAAATTCTGTAAATAAAGCTCCAAGTCCAGAATTTCCCCTGCATAACTCTGAAGCTAAAATACAGCCAAAACAAACTCATGGTTCACGTAATGCTTATGCAAAAAACTTAGGGGACTTATATTCGTGAAATAATCGGAGCACCATAATGGATGCGAGTGCATCAAGTCAAATTTGAAATCACTGGAAGACGAATGTTTCTAATGAATCAATATCTGATCAGACTTGTTCGTGAATAATAGTAATTGATAGTTTGTCATTGATTACATTTTTCTGTGCAATCTCTATATCATTATTTTGTATGTATCTTTTAGTCTTGGTCTAAAATAGTTATTCTTTTTTTTCATTGATAGCCTGGAAGTTTTGTTGTCCGAGATAGCGGAAGTCACCCAAATAGTTTTGCATTATCAGTGCGTTCTAGTAATGGACAGGTAACTGGTGGCTGTTTCCATTCTAGACAACCACATATACCAGGAAATCGAATAAAAGATACAGTCTCCCAGTTGACATCAGTTTATCCATCTTCTACAAGTGGAATAACACACTTTCTTATCCAGAAAACATCTGGAGGTGGTGTGAAACTCAAAGTAAGTAGACTGGATGGTGCTCTTTATACTTCAAAATGTTCCTGATTAATAAACTCGATAGATTGCATTTCGCATTTAGAAATATTTCTCATTAAAAATGGATGCCAGCTGAGTTACTCGTTACTGTGGTTCAGGAGTTATCGGTTATTCATTTTATCCTAATGTTATTATACAGGAGATGAAATGCGAGTAACACTTGGTACTAAATAATTCGCATCATATGTGTTGGTTGTTTGCAGTTTACTTTTCCGAAAAGACTGAATAGAACCTTATCACAACGTTGTAGGAAATGAGTTATTTTATAGTTTTGTGTGTCATTTACAAACCTTGTACTGACCACTATAGGCTGTAATGGAAGGTAGAATACAGGACTAGCATAGCTGGGAATCCTTGTCTTATAACGAAAGCACCGTTCTACTGAATTCTTGTAGCACCGACTATATAATTTTATCATCAAACATAGATCATAATGTGAGTTACATGCATTATATGAGTAGCTTATTTTGGTCTTCTTAACTCAGCAATGCTTTACAAAGGAAGTGCAGTTCCAGTCAACGTAGCTCTATTGGACTACCTTGATATGTAATTCTAACCGAAACATCATTCCAAAAAGATCGATATTAGGTAACTGGTTATTTAGAGATATAGAGTTAACTACATGTTCACTGGGAAACATAAACAAATATCAGACGCTCTCAGAAAGCAGCAATAGGGACAGAGTTTCCTCTAGTCTCCTATATATTGAAAGAGCTTGTTGTCTAATGGTATACCCGCAGTTTTTTTTCTTGCAATTTTTCCAGCTAGTAGATACTCTTTATCACTTATAAGTAATTTTATAACATGAAGCTACTGAGTTTATAAGGGATCGTCCAGATGTTACCTAGTTATAATTACAATATTGGACGAATGTGCAGTTTACTCAAATTTGAATTATGACGACTAAACAAACAAATTTTATTTAAAAAAATATAGTTCCTAATGTAGCATCTTTGCCGTAGTTAAATTTTAACATTCCAATATCTGATTCTGTGCTCTTACTTCGATTTGTCTGATAGGTTACTAACATTTTAGAATTCAAGATATTTATCTTTAAAACTCATTATTTATAGGTCTCAGTCTGGTGAACGTTCAGTCAGTCAGTCAGTCACCTACAGCGTAGGACCAGGCACATATATGCATCGGTCAAAATTGCCATACCTCATTAGCACCACAAGATGAACACCGAATTCATAGTAGTTAATTTAATGGTGCTAATATATAAAAGATTGTATATAAGGATATAGTACAGGAAGAAAGAAAGGTATGAAGCAATTTTAATCTCATAGTTTAAGGGACGGCAGTTAGTGTATACACCCACACCATTGTGATAGATTCTGAGTCATGTTACACAGAGTTTCCAACCATTGGTTACGATAGTCACACGAACCCCAACCAAGTAGTCTGCATCTACCAACATGGCTCAGACTAGAGGTTAGTAACTTCAAGCACTGATGCCATGTTTTGGTTTGGCCGCCCCTAACTCTCTTCCAACCATCCCCTACGCTAGTCAGCATTGCACGTCGTGGTAATCGGTGTTCAGGCATACGTAACACGTGGCCTAACCATCTCATTTGAAGATTCAAAACCTCATCAACTGATTTACTATCATTCCCTAATACCGTGTATCTAACCTCACCATTACTTATCCGATGATCCCAGCAGATGTAGGCAATATTTCTAAGACTTGTTGGAACCTTACCGCCGGAGACGAATATCCATGGGATAAGGCGAGGTGTGCATTTTTATGGTCGACCTTTCCTAACCCCACTCCTTGTGGGAAGGCAGCATCGCTGTTATGCTGGTTGTCTGAAGGAAACACCTTACTGCCATCACACCTCTGTACAGTCAGTAGTACGCCTTCGGACCTTGTGTTTGGTGCTTACCGCTTTTCAACCGACCCGGCTGGCATGGTAGAACGTTGAGAAACGATTGTTCCAGCCATTATAGCTCGATTAGTTCATCACGATTGGCGAGTCTGACCACCACGTCAAGGTAGCAGCAACGGTCGGGCTAAAGAACCTTACTCTGGTGTGTCGGAATTCAATAAATCAATTTTTGTTTAATAAACGTGTTTTCGAAGCCTAAACTGTTATTATTACAGTGGTTGAGATAGTTTTTGAATATTTGGAAATGATTATTACAGTCCTTTGTACTACACAACTATTAATTACTTCTTAATTTTTGTTTAAAAATCCTCAATCCTCGTTATAATCCATGCTGATTTTTAAAATTATTTTAGGGATTAGATAAAGAATGGCCATCACTTGCTTGTCTTGTTTTACACTTAACTGTAATGCCTGAAATGCTTCCTTGCCCACTTCGACTTCCAAGAGCTGCAGCAAATCCCATCTTCTCGCCTACTGACCATTGTGTTGGTCACGATGACTTTGAGAAACCGCCCAATGTTACTCCGTCACAATTTCGTCCAATGTGCAATGCCTTACAACGTGTAACAGATACAATCTCACTAGATGAAGCTTTAGCTCGTCTGACAGATGAAGACGAGGATTACCAACGTTTATCTGATTTCTCTTCCATTATGGCTGATTTAAAATTACAGCCTAGAAATGTGAATAGAAAACATAAAGTTTCATCTAAATCCGGTGGCCATGGTAGATAGATGCTTGTTTTTGTTATTGTTATGATACGTAATCTTATTATAAGTAGTATTGACACTATCACTTACTACCTATCAATGTTCTGTTAGATAATTGTCCTACTTTTTTTGTTTTCTTACCTTTGTAAAGTTTCTCTGTATGTGTGAGAGAGTTTTTATCGTATATTATTTTCTTTATTGCAATACAAACTACCTCTCCAAATAAAACGATAAAATACACCATGTGTATCTGTTAAAAGAATTTCTAGTCCAGTTTCTATTAATTAGTTGTTTTTGTTTTTCTTGACTATCCACATTATGCTTGCTTTAAATGCATAATGATATTAGTGCATACGCTAAGTTGTTATGATATATGCATAAATTTACATTACTTTATTGTTAATTAAGTAATATTGGTTAGTAATAACTAAATTATAATCATGACTTGATTTCATTATATTTTTGTTGCCAATTATTATAGGTATACAATTTTTTAAAAATTAAACTTTATTGTCATTAATTTTTATTCTATTCACTTTTCAATTGCTTAATTATATATTTCAATATGTATATTCTTTATGTTTCTCTAATAATTTCCACCCCTTCCTTTTTTAATCATTATTTGAATATCATGAGTGATAACATGTTGTCAACTCATTTTTGTGTGCCCTCCCCCCTCCCCAACCAGTTCGTTAGAGGTCTTAATGATAATGATAATAATATTTTTGGTATATTAATTTCTGTTTTTTTTCCGAACAAACCGGTATAATTCATGCATTCTCATTTAAATGTACCATTTAGCATTTCCTCCCCTTTGTTTTTCATTTGCTTTATTCTCTTGTTTTTGGTCTTAATTTTATTTCTCTTTCGTTTTAGAAAATAAGGAAATTAATGCAAAATACTACCTGGTGTATTTATTTATTGAAGTAAAGTGTTAAAGCATTTAACTGTTATACTTACATTTGCAATTTATATATATGCGTATATCATGTCAAGGGTATTCATTTTAATTGTCCTCTTACCATTGAAAATAAAGTGTACTTTTATTGTATCTAAGTTTTGGCTATTTCATTCCTCTTTTTCAATATATTTACATAAGATAATTGGATGCGGTTTTTTCTTCATAAGTATACAAGGTTGTAAATAGCTTTTTGGATTAATTCGTACATATTATAAGTGTCCCATTACTGCACCATTACTTTCTGCTGAGATATGTTCATTTTTTTCCTTTAGTCGTCAAAATCCTTTCAATTTATTTCTCAATTGTTTGTGTCCTAATGTTGACTAAGTATCGTATTTATATTTTGAAACTTGGTACAAATAACATATGAACGTTAAACATTTTCACTTTATAATTTATTTATTTGGACACAAACGTTACTACTAAGGGGCACCAAATACATATGCGTCATACAATTATAATGAGGTTGTGAAGAGATAGAGAATAGAGGGTAAGTATTATAAAGGAAAAGCAAAAACGAACAGAAATTAGTGAATGAGAGTGAAATAACAATAGTAATAATAAGTGATAGTATTAATGGAAGGAACAATTCAGTATGGAAAAATACGACAACAAGGAATTTCAGTCAAAGAAATCACGTCCAAATTTTTAAAAAGAAAGTAGAATAAAGTCACAGCAGGATCGCCATGGACTTCTATTCTGAGCCGTATCTGGTAACGTCTCTAGCCATTGTGTTTCACCATTTCCTGGATCCCAACCAAGGAGTCGTGAAGGATCAACAGTAGCCAGTTCTTCCATACCACGACACTGTCATACACTGACCCTATTATCTTTTTCCAACCAGTCCCAGGGTCGGCAAATAATGCACGACGTGGAAGTCTCTGGGACGACATTCGTAGAACATGTTAAAGACACCAAAGTCGATGATTCAAGATAGTGACATCAACTGAATAATCGTCGCTGTGCCCAAACACACGTTGCCGAACCTCTGCATTACTAAAATGGTGTTGCCACTGGATGTCAGCGATCCTTCGGAGATAACGGTGATCAAACACAGAGAGTCATCTAACAAACTCATCTCGGACAGGCCAGGTCTCACACGTATGAGACAAAACTACTCTTACTGGCACGTTGAAAATCCGACATTTTGCAGACAGACTAATATCAATGAGGCTCCATAGGTGACCCGGGTTGGCATAATGCGCTCTGGCTTTCACTATACGTGAATCGATCTCATCTCAGACACAATCACCAGCGCTTAAGCAGCTACACAAATACACGAATTTCTCGACTACTTTATCTTTTCAGTAGGCATAGAGAGTGTAGGTTCAGGGTCTTTCCAGTTTTGTAAGAGTACTTTGCCTTTAGAATGTGGGGAGCACATACCATACCTACGGACACTGATTAAATGCGGATTGCATGGCTTGGGTATCGTCGCACAGTGAGACAATATCATCCGCGTACTGAAGGTCGAAAATGTTTTTCAAAAAAAACAGGTCCACACCACTGTTACCTTCATCCATCCGAGTTGTTTCCAGAGTGTCATCGATAGTGAAATTGAAGAGGAATGGTGAGATTAGGCATTCCTACCTAACGCTACTGGTTTGGTGGAACAGTGGAGAGAGGTGGTTGTATGCCCACTCTGCTTGAGGTTTCAGCATATAAGGCTTTTAAGATATAAGTAAACTCCTCAGGCACACACTTTCAATAGACGGTCCCAGAGAACAGTCCTGTTCAACGAGACAAAGGTGTCCCTAATGTCGAGAAACACTACGATTGTAGGTCTGTAATTAGAATGATGGTGTTCTAATATTTGGTGGTCAGTCGGACAGAGAAGGACTAAAACAACCTTACTTCATAAAATTTGAAGTATCTTTTGTAATGTTCATCGTGAATACTGATGCTGCTCTTTCTACAAATAATTGTAAAGTTGCGCATTTGAAATTGGGACCACCTTTCTTGACCAGTTTGTCAAAGGTGTAGAACATATAAACAAGTACTTTACTGTATTCTTATTCATTAGTTCTTTGTAATACACAAAGGTAAAGTACATTAGATACATTTGACTTACTGTCTAACATGTTTTCGGTGTTATTCTACCGAAATTATTGAGAGTCCATATTTCCCCATTACTTTTAATTCTAATAAATAACGTTTATATTACGTCTGTGTACGTTACATCTAATTGCTTATTTCTATAAAACATCTCGTTTTTTTGTAAGTAAACTTTCTTTTGAAATTATATCGGATAAAATGTTGATTATGTGGTAATGAAATAATGGCAAACTCAACGCTAACAATTATTTCTATCTTTGGTTGTATCACAATCAGTTTATGAGACAGGTTCAAAGCCTTAGTCTTTGAAGGTGTAAAAGAATGGAGAATACGAATACGTTACTGTAAACAGTTCTGAGTAATCCTATTTCAAGTTTTAAGTACATAAATACAGGAGAATTGGAAAATCCACCAATTGTGTAATTTTTTTTTCGTCGTAGTAATTAATTGTTATATCTGTAGTATCGGTTGGTAAGTGAATAATTAACAAGGTGAAAAAATGACTCATGATGGATAGGTGAATTGACTTGTTCAGAAGTTAGAATAAGACATATGGACTTAAAATATCAACCGACACTACATATCAATCCTTTAATATTTCGATGATGATATGTCAGTACGTAAAGAATGATCATCAGTATGGTAGATGATATCACTAGTCGGAACTTCCAGATATCATAAATACGTAATTGATTTCTCAAAATGATCAGGTTTTTTTTCCATATATTTAGTGCCTTTGATATATTTAGAAATAAAATTCGTATTTATTTTTGCATAAGTACATATCAACGTTTAGTGTTAAAGTGTTTGTCTCCTTCCTGCTATTACGATGTTCACTCTGCTTCCAAACATTCATTTCAACTTTATTAACTAAATTATGGTAAATTTACTACTTTTTGTAACCTTAAGCCGTTTACAGTTGATAAGAAGAATCTGAAATAGAATGAGTCCATTTTTTTCTTATAATCTTATTGTTTTCACTTTGTTTAGATAAGGTTTTTGTTCATTATTATTATGTAGTATTTACAAGGTACACCTTAATATTCCGTTTCACAATTAAACTTAGAATACCTAGTCGTATAAAGTGACCGTCTTTCTACATCTTCAGAATCATGTTGAGAAGATTTTAAATGATTTAATACCAATGTGGTTTAACTCCTTTCATAGCATTTATCTACCTTGGTCCTTGTTCTTAATTTTAAAGGCATAAATATTTCATAGTAGGAATTTTCGTTATCTTACAGCACCAAAATAAATAGCTGTACAAACTATGTATGAAAATACAGTGACTAAAAATAGCTATAGATTAATATGAATCTCAGTTATTATCGTTGAAAGATATATGACGGTTTGGAGGGTAAATTTTCTGCAGTACTAAATTTAGTCCACATTGTTTTCAGGAGACGAGTAGGTTTAGTTATCTGAAATAAATGAAACAAGAAAAAATGATCACTGACTTTTCATCGATAATTAAAAAGTTAATTCAATGATTTAAAAACTATTCATGGTATTTATAACTGAATCATAATGATACAAGTCAAATTCGGTTATTTATTCATTCTCAGAATAATGGACTTAAGCTAAGTTGTGAAACGTCAGAATTTTAAATTTCTACTCATTATGATTTATAAAATTTTTCAATATTTTATGATTAACAGTTTACCTAGTGCTGAAATTATTAAGTCAAATATTGGCTACAACATTTACATGTGTTGTTATGTTACATATGTAGTGTCGTTCATATTCTAATTAAGATGTTTGTTTGAAAGCTTAATAGGGGACGCAAGATGTGACAGCTTGGCAATACCATATGAAAATAATATTGTATTTGTTTAGTTTAAACGATAATGCAAACTTTAGAGACCATATTTATTAGTTATCTTTACACGAGTAGAAAAGATTGGAAGTGAGAACTTGGCTTCGAGATAAACTGGCAAATAGAGATCAAAGATGACTCGAAATTCATGACTGAATTTCCTCTTAATTTTATTTTTGTCAACTTTAAACCTTTAGCATTTGATTATTACTCCAAATTTACTTTTCAATGCTCAATTGATATCTTTTGTTTTTATATCCGTTTACTACTTATATTTTATTTTTCTTTGTTCATTGATAATGCATGTTTTTTCTCCACACTGGTATATCAATCTCAGACTATTGTATTTACCAATCCAAAAGTAAACTCTGATATAATTGTCATGGAGGTATATTTCTAAATCATAACCCATAGAAGTTCAAAATTCATTTTATTACTTGTAGATGTTTGCTTATTTTTTTAATAGTTTTCAATGGGAACTGGATAGTTTAAGTGTAACTTACTTGTTCATTGTGTGATTCAGTATTAAATTTTGTAGTAATTCTGTCAATAATTTGTCCAGCTAAATTCTTCACCAATGGATCTGAATCATTTGAATGTATATCATTCAAAAGTTGTAATATTGTTGAACTTGTAATTCCATCAGTGGTATTTCCATATAGTCTACAATTTTTATTATTTGCATTATTATTTTGTGTGGTTTTTATTGTTTCACTTATCTGTGATTCTATGAGTACAGTTAATGCTTTTAATGCAGCTATTCGTTTAATACTAGATTTTTGTTCTAAACCGCATATCATGCTAATCCATATTGGTGATAATGAACTTAAATTTTGTTTAATGCAGTTTTTATTCAAACAGTATTGAATATGAATAGGTGGTCCCATTAAATAAAAAATAGGACGTGGAACTGTATTTCTACTATTCTTTTCGATTAATTGATGATAATTATTAATATGATTATTTGTTCCATGAAGCATTTGTACATCATTTGATAAGTGCAACTTTTGTTTGGAATTTGTTAAGTGTTGAAAAACTCTATATATCTGCAAAATTGTATTACAAAAAAAATGGAATGAGTTTAGAAAACTTGTGGAATTCTGTAAATGTTTAAATAAATAAGCATTTTATTAAGATAATTTTAGTCAGCCTCATTGTTAGTGTTGATCGTTACATGTAGTTGTTTGTGATTTTAACCAACTATCTCTCTTTCTTACAGTGGTTTTCATCACAAACTAACATGGACTAGAGCATTATTAGAAAATAGGCAACACTGAAGAACTGTTTCATTGGAATTTGGGACATTTTGGCAGTGCACGCTCACAATTAAAAACTTTCACATCTTTCAGCATAAATAGTAAAAATGGGAAGCTGGAATTTGTGGAACCAAAGAAATAAGGGTTCTTATAGTAACTCACTGTTAGCCGTAAACGATTTGCTAGATGTATGTAAACCATTTTTAGTCTGTGAATTATTTCTGTTGTCATTTTGTCCGTAGTAGTAGTTTGAAGAAAAAAGTCTCAATGACTGTCGATGTACCTTAATTTTCCGTGTTCGGAACATTTTATATACTACAGTTTACATACATTTTAAGTTATTTGTTATTTTGAGTTTGCGTTCACAATTCTGGCCTCTTTATTGGATGAAATAAAAAAACTACCTTTTTTGACACAATAAATTCATCGAAATTCATTTGTTACTGAAATTACTGCTTAAAATGTAGTACATTGAAAAGTAATATGAAACTTATATTAACTTACCTTTTCATTCATTGATTTTAATAGCATAATCGCTTTCTTATTAATCTCTTCATCATGATTTCCTACTAGTTCAGCAACTCGTAACCACGTTTGAGTGGAATGACAAGCAGCCAATTCAGTGCTTCTCATATCTAAACCATATTCTATTTGTTCTAGATAATTTGGATCTACTCCTACATCACTTAATAGTACATTTAATCCAAATATTGGTTGCAATGCTCTCGTGAAATAAGGTAGGGTTGACAAGGTACGGGAGGAATAAGCGTTTTCTAAATTCCACTGAATATATACTAAAAGGTAATAACAACAGAAGATATCGGTATAAGAAATAGGTAGGTATCCATCCAAAATTTACTTTTTGTGTTATACTACTCACAAGTAGTTGGGTTGTATGGTTTAAGGTTATCATGAAATTGATTAGGTGTCATCTTTAATAAGTCATATTTGTTACTTGCTATGCTATGGTCTGTCTCGAGATTTTTATATTTATGAAAACAATAGAGTATTTAATAGTGATTAAGTCTTATAAACACTTTCAAGCACGATAATGCTCTGTTTAAATGAATCTACTCTACAATGTTACCTGTAAAATGCATGTGATATCTATTTCTATATTTGTTTTAGTTTTAGATGCACTATAAGATTTTAGAATGTCCTACGCATATTTTAAAAAGCCATTTGAACTATTAGATGAGTAATAAAGAATACTTTTGAAAGAGGTGTTATTTTGGATATATTGATATACTAAACTGTCTTGTGTAGCTAATCTCTAACTCTTTACTATTATAAAAAGTCATTCAGAGATCTAATTATTATTCACTTTGTAAAATATTGAATACATGGATTGAGTCAGTAGTCTAGGAGAAAAAATGTATTATTTTGATACGATTTCGTAAACCACGGTGTTCGTTTTGTTCAAACTACAAAGACAGAAGATTCTGTTGTATTCAAAGAGTAGAAAGTAATACTTCATCTTTTATAAACCTCTATATACATTTATTTAGAAATAAAAAGCAAGTATGTAATTTTAAAACATCATTAAATAATCTTCAAGTTTCAACCAATTAGCTTTGTGTAGTAAGTTTTTAAAACTTTAGTGATCATGATACAAAAATAATACCGAACACATGATGAATAAGGTGATTTGTTCACCAACTTTAGCTTTTTTTCAACTGTGCAGTATCCTGATGTAAATAAAGTAGATAAAAAGTAGACAAAATTTCACTATCTCAGAACAAATAAACAATTATTTAAAATTTACTTAGTGTTACTTGCTTGAATCTTCCCATTGATGTTTAGGACTGCAACTGGTCAGTCTCTTATTGGCTTATGTGCGTACTGTGCGTATTGCCTTGATATAGCCTTATTTCACAAGCATTGTAAGCAAAGAGGACGAAACGCGCGTCCTGAATTCCACTGCTAACCACTATCCATTTTTGCTTACAATGCTTGTGAAACAAGGCTATATTGGGGCAATACGCACAGTAAGCACATATACCAATAAGAGACTGACCAGTTGCAGTCCTAAACATCAATGGGAAGATTCGAACAAACAATACTAAGTGAATTCAAACTTCACCCCATTGCACAAGCAAGTGGCTGTCAGGACTCAGTAGCTGAGTGGATAACGCGATGGCGTTTGAAGCGAAGGGTACTGGGTTCGAGTCCAAGAGTGAACATCAACTCTGAGATGCAGGTACATCCAGCTGACGGGTCCCGAATAGGGCGAAACGCGCGTCCTGGATTCCACTACTAGCCACTATCCATCTCTGCTTACAATTATTTAAAATGTTCATAATTTAATACAATTATCCCAAAAATGTATACAACATATCATTAAACAATGGTTTTTACTTGGTGATTAATTAGTGTAACTATCTCAGTCATGCGTGAGGACAGTCAAGAACCAGATACCTTGATGGTATTATCTCTGAGTGTGATGCTGCGTGACATGAATTTGAATCTTACTGTAATTATAAGTTCTATTAAAATATTACTTACATCCTGCTAATGAGTTCAGACTGGTAGTGCGCTTAGGTCAAACTGGTATTTCTAGCGAATGGCCCTTAGCAATAAATAAGTTATCTACATCATGTCTATTTTGTGAACTTAAATTCTTGTAAATACTTTATGCCTATGTCAGTCTTGTTGTAAGCTATGTGAAAACTTTGTTTTTTTCTAAAACCAATAGTATTTATGATTACCAGCGAATTATATATGCACAGATAAAATTTCACTAACATTGTCCAGCTAAATAAGAAAGTAGTTGTATAAAATAAACATTAAACTGTTTTAATTGATCTCGATTATGCTGATCTGATAAACGATTTGATAAAACAGTAGATTCCATTCTTTCAGAAAGTTTTAGACGTAAATTTAAATGGGTAAGGGGAATAGTAGATAATTCAGAACCATTCACTTGAAGATCCAGCACGTCTTCAATAAAATGGTCGATTACTAGAGATTAAACAAAAAAAAAGAAAGTATAATTGGACTGAATGCTTTCAAAAATATTTTTGTTTTAAAACTTCCCATATATTATAAATATCAACACAAACAACTTCAGATTATAAAAACTTGACGCTCATGTGGATAGATATTTCGTCCACAATCTACATTTCGTAATAGGCTTTTTGTAGCTGTTAAAGGTATGAGGGCAGTTATCACTATTATTATCAATTACTATACGAACCACTTGAAATGAGATTCCTTTTCATATATTCAGGCATAGAAAATTAAAAATAGCTTTATGTATGATGTAGTAACCACAATCTGGTAGACGAAAGATTTCACGATTTTTGGAACTTTTAGGAGTTTCAGTTAACTGGGTTGCAAATTCCATTAACTGTAGATTATACATATAAAACGTGACGTGCGTAATTAAGTACAAGTTACTATCACGAAGCTAGACGTTTTTTCCTATAAATAAATACATAAAATTTGTGTATACGTTGAGGAATAAAGTGTCTTAAGTATAGGCTTATATAGTAAAAATTCTTCAGATAGAGTTTTAAAAATGCAAAAACTATTTCCAAATTTGTTAACATACATCTGAATATTTCTTACCTCCGTTAGCCATATCTTTCGACCATCGAGGAACCACATCTTTTTCATAAAATCTTAGTAACGTTTCACGAAATGCATCGCGATCAAAAATGATTTGTGGTGAAGATATATCCTCTGATATAGTTACATTAATATTATTTTGTACAGGCCAAATTAACTTCGAAAGAAAACATGTAAACCTTAAAGTAGAGTATGGTTTTCCATCACCACAAACTTTCAATAAATATTTGGATTCAACTGTTTGTAAATCGTCAATAATTCCTTGACAAAGGCTCTCAACCTCATCAAAGAATTCTATCTATAATAAAAGCAATAGTAGAGATTTTTTCACTTCTTTTCAATTCAGTTTTTTCATTAATGTGGGATTAATATCTTTCTTTATCAGAAGTTTAGATGTTTATTTATTTGTTACAAAATAAAGTCACTTCAATATAAAAATAGAATTCTTAACTTATTGAATATATATCGAAAAATGTTTATGTCCCTTTTGATATATAGGAAGATGTTTCCCACTTTTCGTTATTTCCGCAACATAAATTAGATTTATTTGAGTTCTTTTACAAAATAATTTCAGAGTTCAGACAATTCCAATTCATAGGATCGTTTAGTCTCGTGGCAAAGAACTCATACGAAACAAAAAACAATACATACAAAAATTGATTTGTTAACAGTTTACTAATATCTTGGTATTTATTCCTTAATTCTCATTAAAATATAAGTGATAATTGGTATGAAAAGATTGGGAGAACATCTTGTTGGTGAGTGTCAACTGACAAAGAAGTTATGCTCAAAATTTTTAATTATCTACGTTAGAGATTTACTAATGCACAAAATTCGAGATAGCTGCATCAAAAACAAAATTTTGTTCGCAATAGTTCTCATCATTTTTTCACGGTTGATATCGTTTTCAAAGTTTACATTGCTAAGACATAAATGAACTATATATCTGTGTAAGTAGTATACTTATACATTCGAATAATTTTAATTATGGTATTATTTGGTAATAATAATATGGTAATAATCACTATAGCTCCGCCTGTAGCTCTTCTAGATTTACTGCCGGTCCCAAGTCCGGGTAAAGGAGAAGGGTTGGGCATGGAGTTAGCGACTCCATCCCGTAGAAAAAAACCTTGCTAAAATAAAAGCCAACCAGAAAAAATAATTCAAACCATTTACACTCTGCCCTGGGAATTAAATGGAGAATTGTGACACCTCAGGATGAAAGTCGAGTTCATTCGAAAGTCAAGAGGTCGATGCCCCTTCTAACAACTTGAGTAACAATTTTTATTGGTATATGAAACGTCCGGACAATGTGGGAGACCAGAAAGACCAGTCAAAATGGATCTCTATGGGAACCCTGGACAAGATTCAAGAAAGGAAGAACAAGAAGACAGCAATCACCAACAGTTGAACACGAGCAGAGAAAGTCAAGGCACAAGCAGAGTACGCAGAAGCAAACAAACAAGTGAAGAAGAGCACTAAAGCCGACAAGCAGAAATAAATGGGAGAACTAGTGACGACGCCAGAAAAAGCTGCAAGAGAATGGAATATGAAACAACCATATGATACAATGAAGAAACTAGCACTCTAGTAAACCAGAGAGACCAGTCAAGGACAAAGAATGAAAGACTATCACGGAGATTCAAGAACAAAGGAACAAATGGATCGAATACTTTGAGTAACTGCTAAATGGATCGGCCCCATTGAATCCACCGGACATCGAAGCTGCACACACAGACTTTCCTATATCTGTCACTCCACCAACGATTGAAGAAGTCAAGATGGCCATCAGACAAACCAAGAGTGGGAAGGCGGCAGGACCTGACAATATACCAGCTGAAGCAATGAAGTCATACACTGAAGTAACTGCAAACATGCTTCACCTTCTATTCAGGAAGCTTTGGGAGCAGGAGCAAGTGCCAATGGACTGGAAAGACGGATACCTCAACCAGATACCAAAGAAAGGAGATTTGAGCAAATCTGAGAATTAAAGAGGCATCACACTGTTGTCAGTATCAGGAAACGTTTTCAACAGAGTGTTGCTGAACCGGATAAAAGACGCAGTAGACGCCCAACTTCGAGATCAACAAGCTGTATTCCGTAAGGATCGGTCGTGCACAGACCGAATTGCGACACCAAGAATCATCATGGAACAATTAGTTGAGTGGAATTTGTCACTATACATAAACTTCATTGACTATGAGAAGGCGTTCGACAGGGTGGACAGGAAAACATTGTGGAAACTTCTTCGACACCATCGGGTTCCTGACAAAATTGTCAACATTATCCGGAACTCATACGACAGACTACAGTGCAAAGTCGTGCATGGAGGACAGATGCATTTCCAGTAAGGACTGGAGCCAGAAAAGGCTGTCTACTATCCCCCTTCTTCTTCCATCTGATGATTGACTGGATTATGAAGACCTTGACATCTGACGGAAAGCACGGAATAAATTGGACATCTCAGAATCAATTAGATGATTCGGACTTCGCAGATAACCTAGCCCTCCTCTCTCATACACACGAACAAATGCAGATGAAGACAACAAATGTAGCAGCAGCCTCTGCATCAATAGGCCTCAACATACACAAGGGCAAAAGCAAGATTCTCAAATACAACAAGGGGAACGAATACTAGCCCAATCACACTTGATGAAGAAACTCTGGAAGGTGTAGATACATTCACGTACCTGGGAAGCATTATTGATAAACAAGGAGGATCTGATGCAGACGAAAAGGCGAGGATTGGCAAAGCAAGGGCAGCATTTCTACAATTGAAGAACATAGGGAACTAAAAACAACTGTCAACCAATTTCAAAGTGAGAATCTTCAAAACGAACGTCAAGATAGTCCTACTGTACGGAACTGAAACTTGGAGAACTAATACATCCATCATCAAGAAGGTATAAGTATTTATAAACAGTTGTATATGCAAAATACTCAACATCCATTGGCCGGATACTAACAGCAACAGCGTTTTATGGGAGAGAACAAACCAGCTTTCAGCTGAAGAAGATATTAGGAAAAGACGTTTGAAGTGGATCGGACATACATTAAGGCAATCACCAAACTTCATCGTGAGGCAAGCACTAACTTTTAATCCGGAAGGAAAGTCGAGAAGAGGAAGGCTAAAGAACACATTACACTTGGAAATAGATGCAGATATGAAAAGAATGAATGTTAACTGTAAGGAACTGGAAAGGATTGCCCAGGGCAGGGTGGGATAGAGAGTGCTGGTGGCTGGCCTATACTCTTGCACGAGGGGTAACAGGCGTATGTAAGTAATAATCGCTATCATAATTTGATCACTGATATGATTTGAGCAAACACGTATGTTCTTTGACCACTAAACCTACATAAAGACCTTTTAAGCCGTAATAGTATTACAAATCTTTTTGAAAACTAAATATAATGTAATACATAAAAAGAGAAGGAAATTGAGAAATATCATGCATAAAATGGTATTGTACTTAAGATTGGGAGAAAGATAAAAATATGAATGCTTCTGCGCCACTGTAAACAATGACAGCTACGTTTTCGAACAACAATTTACTCTTCAAAAGCTTACAATCATAACAGATTACTTCATAGGTTAATGCCTATGCCCTAATCGAAGAGAGCATATCCTTTCTCATATCTACTTTGGTTTCAGTTAGTGGAACACTTGGGAGCAAGCCATAGCTTTTGTTGCCTAATGAATATCATAAGCATTTAAAATTCTTTTTTTGGGCCTTTATCAGTAATTTTCCCCTCTTATCATTACGTTAAATTTAATCTCAAAAATCCTCAATCGGTAGTCCTAGAGTACACCAGCCATAAGTTCTATTCATCTTTGATGAAATACGGGCAACGTATGTAACCTTTGAAGTTTGTTTCACAATTTTCAAGTAAAGATAGGGTGAAAACCGCCATTGATCACTTTTCATCTAGTATATTAATGTGTTACTCAAACTGTATACTTTAAAGAATATATAAATGTTAAAGCCATTTACTTGTTCTAAAAATAAGTTCGACTAATGTTTGTTAGTAAACTTTCTATGTATATTGTGTTTTATTTAGATTCTTATAAATAAATGCAGTCCAGTATGAAATATGATCCGTTTTTTAGTAATCACTTATTGATTATTTATACTTACATGTAATAATTATAATAGTATATATATTCTCACTGTCAATTTTAATCTCTCATTGTTTACATTGGTCTTTGTAAAAACAAACAACAACAAATAAGTTGCATTACATGCAATTATTGATTTCGACCATATAGAATGTGTAACAGATTGTGCACTGTTTTCACGCATATGTTTGCCTAGTGTATTTGTATGCATGTTTGTGTATTTTTGTTACTCAATATGAGAGAGCAATAATTTAAGTAAAGAAATAAAATAAAATCTAAATCACACGTAAAACTCATTGTAATTTTAAAAAAATAAGTAATTTCATATATATATATATATATATATATATATATATATATATATATATATATATATATATATATATATATATATACGAAATGACGGAGATTTGCATTTAGGCTGGATATTTTTGTCGGTGTAATGTTGGCTGAGATGGATAGTCTGATCTTGAGATAATATGGAACACATGACGCTAAGTTGTGGATCGGTAAGCTGGAAAGAGCATCAAACGTAACCGACAGAGCAACGATACATGAAATAATTGACAGTTGGTCAGGTACACAAATCAGTTTATCTACCGTGCACATTAGTTTATGAGAAATTGTGATCAGGACTTTTACTTCCTATGGTAGATACCTTTAAAATGTACATTTATATTTGTTTCAAACATTACTGGTACATTTTTAGTTAGGACCCTCATATTAGTATCAGTAAAGTTTGAAAAGTCCAAATTGAAGGTTTTAAGATCAAGTAAAACAATTTAAGGCGATGTTTTCATTTTTGTCAAACGGACAGCACATCAAACTGGTTGCCTTACGTGACCATTCTGACAGCTGTTAGTTATTCAGCGAATAATATCGTTTTCTTAGATTTACGAGAGAGCCAGGAAGACAAGTACCTAATATTGAATGTAGTAATATACTTAGAAATCAAATATGAATGGTCATCATAGATTAAAAATATTACTGACCTGTTCCAATAAAGGCAAAGTAGACCAAGCTGAATGGACTGAGTTACGCACTGAACTCAATGATCCATTGGGTGTATAGTTGTTTATTGTTTTGTCAGAAACATCAGAAACAGACGACTGAGGTGATAATAATATTTGAGAACTGCTTACATACAAGTGATCTGGATACACTTGGTCAAGTAAACGTATGGTATAGTTCAAATGCCATATCAATGCTAAATCTAATTGCCTCCAACCTGTAGTTTTGATAACCTGATCAATATCACATGTATAAATGTCTGTCTTTTCAACAACTCTAATTGAATGGGAAGAACCTGATATAGATGAAGTTGATCCGTCTTCAATATACCCATCAAACGATTTCTCTGGTTCATCTAAAAACGCTAATGATTCCCATAAAGATTTTAGAGTGCTTTTTTCGTCAATATTTTTCTCTATTGTTTTTAGTGGTGAAGAAATGATAGATTTTGGATTTTGAGATTTATTTGAAACGTAAAGTTGATTAAACCAATATGAATTATTCTCTAATTGTGCAATAAGGTTTGTAATAGTTTTATCCAAATTCTAAAATTTAATTAATGTAACCAATAATCATTAATTATAATTGAATAATACCAGTAAGAAATAACAATTCTAATCAAAATATAATAAAATATCAGATTACTATCATCTTTCATCAATAATGTGACTTTGTATTCCTGATTTATAATTGAACATCTGAACAACAAGATAATTACTTTTATGGTTTAATAACGTTTCATATTTTTATAAATTTATTAAAATTCTTGATGAATATTAAGTATAATACATTCCATTTTAACTCATTTACAAAATGATGTAATCTGCTGTGAACTACATTTTGTAAGGTTTATTGACAGGTACTATTGTAGTGAACAAGAACACGAGTGAGGACAATCGAATGTATTTAAACACAAATTACAGACTATCTCACTAAATTCTTATAATCATACAGCAAACATTTAATTTGCAAAATAACAATCAATTGTCTCAATCTTAACTGTTCCTTCTGTAAATATCAGTCCATGTTCTCTAATTTCATTGTTCATGCATTTTTGTACCGATTGCGCTACATTCCTGTTTCTTCCTTATCGATCTTCTGCCAAAATACATTCTATATCTGACCATCACCACATACTACTTGTGTGGATATAAGTAGACAACACCATAATCGGTTGTCCTCACCTGTGTTCTTATTCACTACATTTAGTGTCGCTGCCAATCAGGAGGAGAAAGGGTGCTGTTTTGCGGACGCCACTGCGGGTCTGGAGTCGAGGTGCTAGTTGGGTCAGTATGGTACGGAGAAGTAACGTTCAGTGGAGTGTTCTGGAGGGGTGGTGTTGGCTGTAGCAAGTGCTGTTGACGAAGATGAGCAGTGGGACTTGTGACTGCTGGGCGGACATCGGATGTAAATGGCTCAGCATGCCGGTGGAGTACGGGTGTTGAACGTTCTAGGTACCGGATGGATGTTGGTGCCCCGGCAGGTCGGCTGAGCTATGGAGGTCAGCGCACCACAGACTCGACATTTAGACGGAGAGATTGGCGTAGACTGCAGTAAAAGAAAATAATGTGCACGGTAACAGAACCACCGCATGAACGAATGCTTTAAAGGGGGGACGAGTGTGATGTGGGTTAGTGATATCCGCATAAGCAGTATATGGTAATGGTTGGGCATTGAATGTATTTCAGTAGAAGTTTGATAAGGAGAGAACTGGAACAGCACGCAATTGGTACGAAAATGCATGAACAATTATAATCGGAGATTATGGATGGATATTTGCAGAAGAAACAGTCAAATTGAGACAATTTGAGTGTTATTTTGCAAATTAACTGTTTACTATATGGTTCTCATATTTTAATGAGATATTCTGTAATGCTGTGCTTAAATACATTCGATTGTCCCCACCTGTGTTCTGTTCGCTACACTTTTTGTCTACTAAAACTGATTTTTGATGAAGTAGAGTTTTAACCAATTTCTATCTAAACATTTCAACCACTAAGTTATTTATTACCTTGCAGATCACATTAAATCTAATTGTAGCATTATAGAGTACAATAATTCCTAAAAGATAATAATACATTTCTTAAAACAACCATTAAAAACAAATATTGTATAATTATAAAGAGATATTGAGTTGTGTATTAAAGTAATTTTTGGTTAAGGAGAAATTTCAAATACATGTAGTCATCAATGAAAAATCTATTGAAATGATATGAAAGATGTGTAACTTAAATAAATATGTTTGATGGTATTGAGTTCTTTTAGTTGAATAGTTTAATTCTTAAAGTTTCATTACTGTTTTGGGCCAACATTATCAGTATCCATTCAATGTACAATTAACTAATGATAGTAAACATAAACTAATTTTTGGTAAACATTTTAAAGCACTTCACAATGTTTAGTTTACGATCATTGTGCTTAGAATGATTTATCGTTGTGGGTTCAGATTTTAGATTTTTTTTCAAAAACAACAACAAAGAAAATAAAATTTAATTTTTGACAGAAAATTTTCATTTTGTAAATTAAGCTCAGATAATTATGAAGTTTTATATCATTGTTAAAATTAGTAATTTCTATAAATATATTTTTGAAGAGAAAAATCTTCAAATACGTAAAAAAAAGAAAATTTTCGTAATGAAACATTTTGTTCTTTGATGTCTCATGTTTAGAAAAAGTGAAAGCGCATATTTATTTAAAATAAAAAAAATTGAACAAATAGGCGGCTATATATGTACAACTGCTTATATGTATATATTTACAAATGTAAAAATATAAGTATATGTTTTGCTAATTATCATACTGATGTGAAATGATTGATTTTTCACCCACACTTTCAAGAATGTGCTTTTAAAACTACCGTTTGATAGTATTAGAGTAAAATGTCATAAGTTTGCAGCGAGTATTAGCCGATCTTAGCCGATTCTCTGTACAGCTAGACAATCATCCACCGTCACCCTGTCAATTAGTCATCATCAATGTAGAACCTGGCACTCTTAAGTGTTGGCTCAAGTTGCCTGTTTTATATAAGCACAATCAGATGAATTACATGAGAGATAGAAATGATGTAGTAGCAATAATGATAGGAAATACTGAACATAGAGAATATGGTTCGTAAGGAAAAAATGGGACGGTATGTGTGGAGGTATACTGTAGTTTAAACTCGAAAGAATGGTAAAAAAGTTCATCTGAGCCGTTGTGGATGAATCTGAGACATTTCAACTGAAGTTTTTAACTACTGATCTCTGTCACTGTCACTAAACACAGTTAGATATTATCGCAATCTTAATTGTTTGGAAATGTATGATAGTGTATAACAACAAGTAATAGGGAGATAGTTAGACAGTGCCCTATTGATCTAAGAAATTAGAAATCTAATAATAATAATAATGAAATATTACTAGCAATGTTTCACGGTACATGGCTGTGAAATAATGAATTTACACCTAACTTCATAAATATATGACTATAATCTAGGTTAAAGTGAAACAATTTCCATAATCTATCCTCCCTCCTCGTCATTATTTTAGTGAATAAGATACTTGGATAAAGTCACGTCTAAAGGCTTTCTTAGTATTAACAATGTTGAAAAACGAATTAAAATATTTATCATTCAGCGAGTAGATTTTTATTTAAACAAATGATTTATCCATTGAAATTGATAACAACTGATATTGTAATTGGACATCATTTGTTATCAATAACTAGTTACAAAAGGGTGATGCCGTCTAAAAATTAACTTTACTACAATATAATTATCAGTGTATTAATGAAAAGTGAATGATGAAAAAAATAATCGCTCTTACTTTGAGTAATCCTTCAGGATCATCATGTATTCTAGTTTTGATATCAATTTTATCTTTTAATTTACTTATATGTTCAAATAATTGATTATTTGTAGGTTTTGATGTCAGCAATCTCGATTCTGCTGTTTGTAATGTATTGATTTTTACAGATGTTCTGTCGTTGATAGGTACTTGCTGTTCTATTTGTCTTTCTTGCACTAGTTCTTTTTCTGGTGTACTTGATTCGGAAATGTTAGTACGATTATCCGTCTAATTTGCAAAAAACAAAAGAGAACAACGATTATGTCGACCATTTAATTAAATATAGATCATGAAGGTATACTTAGGAAACATGGTCATCATCATTAACCGATATCAGCTGAGTAACTTTTGACAAAAATGAAACATTGCTAAAGGAAAATCGTAAGAGCAATCACCTGTCTGAGGAATACGTGTGTAAACTGCTTAATGGTTCCAAACTAGGAAAATAAAACTGCCATGTGCTACCTATTTTTCAATGGTTCTCAGTTTTTTAAGAAATTTAACTTCGAATAAATATGATTAAGGTATACAACTTTTTCTGTTCACTTACGTTATCATAATAATTATTATGATTACTTGTAGCATTAATAGAGTTGGTGTCTGCAATATCAACATAGTTATTTTGATAACCTTTGCTTTCGTGATTCCGATGAGTACGTACAGTAATTATTTTGATTTCTGGTGACATCAATTCTGGTTCACTCAGCTCATGGGTTTCAAGATCCTATTAACACAAATTTAGAAAATAGATGAGATTTTAAACAACAAAATAGCAATTATACTAACACATTTTATAGTTGTTTTAAATAACATAGTCGGTTATGTGAATAATACATGGAAAGTGAATTGAAATCTATGAAGTCATGACGTTACAGATAACTAAAGTAACCTATTGTGTCAGTGAATCTAAATACAGATAATTCAGAGAGGAAATTCTTTCGACTAGATCATTTGCTGAAGCTGTACATTCACATTTGTAGACTCATATTAAACAAGATGAGATAAAATTGATCCACCATACGTTAATTTTGCATATCTTGGAAGTTTATTTAGTGTAAACAATAATATGGTACTTTTTTCTAATCGAAACCTTTGGTAGCTACGCTTGTTAGTTGACTGAAGTTACTGTTAAAAAGTTGGAAATAGCGTAGCTTAACAGCCCACTTAAACGAATAACTGTCTGCAAAGATAGTGGTTGTGTATTGATCATCTTCATTTGAGTAATGAAGCCATCTGTTGGAGGAGGAAGATGTGGCTTTCCATGTAGAAATACGTCACTAAGGTCTTTAGTTGATTGTCAGTAAACTTTCTGGGTTATATAATCTACTACGACAAGTGATAATGGGTAGTCCGTAATTATATTCACAAAAATTAAGAGTAGTTAGCGTTAGAACTAATCTATTCAGGAAGTGGGTGTTATTCATGTCTAAAAGTATATTCCAGCTGAAGTTCTTGAAATGTAGCATATGAGTTGAAAAAGCGTGATTGACATTACTGAATACTAATTACAATAGAATGAACATAGTTACCATTGATCTTTGTTCAGATACTCGAAACAACATTACTTATTGAAGATCGCTTTATTTATTTTCTTCTTTTGTACGTATTTCTCTTGTCGATCGTTTTCTCGAATAATGTCATATAGTTTGAAAGAGTAATGCATATCTATGAGATGATTCAAACTATTCCGTTTCAAATAGATCCCATGATAAATGATCTGTTTAGACAAATTATCGTGTCAAGCAATAGACTAATGCTTTGTTTTCGAATACACAGTTGTAAGGATTTTAACAAACTGTAGTTAGTTGATGAAAATAAATCTGTGTAGAAGATTTGTGAAGATAGTGATATTTCAGCTGTTTAAACCATGAACCGACTTTAATTGGACTACCAGTAAAAATTTGGATGACCATTTCTTCTCGGCAAGAGTTTCCGTATGATGTTTATCCTTGACCCTGCATCTGGAGATCGAGCTAGGGACCTTCAGTCTTGAGCTTGAACGGTTAACCTCTAAACCAATGAACCAGGAACCAACATCTTAACTTCAGTAGTCTGATACCGTCTCCTAGGCTTAGAGTTCAGGCGTTCAAGCATGAGACCGAAGATCATCGGTTCGATTCCCGGATGAGGGGTCAAGGATACACACTCTGAGCTGCCCCAAATTGAGAAGAAACGGCAATCTGTTTAGTGATAGCCAAAATCGATCATATTCTTTCCAAACCTCGTTAGTATTCACGAACGTAAGGTATGATCAATACCATAAGAAATAATTGATCGAAAATTTGGAACGTTACTCGTAGGGTTTCACAACATAACCTATGAGACATCGTCGTTGGACTTTTCTGGAAGCTGACCACAATTATTGAAACATACTTACGTGTGAAAGCTGTTACCATCTCAAACAAATCAAATTATGCCTGTTAAAACCACCATTAAATAGTTTTTGAAATTGAAATTTTGCTAAAGTTGTATATATATATAATCAACTTACTGGCAAAGAAATCCACTTCGGAAGTTTTGAGTGGCATTTATTCTGTTCACCATATTGACTGGGAGTCCTTTTATTAGATCGGACTGTTAAGATTGTTACACTTCCTTTATTTTCTAAATCACTAGAATCTGAGTTATCTTGTGGAATAATAAACTCACTGGAAGATGTTTCAGTTTTAATTAAATTAGTTAATTGTTGATGATTATGACGAAGTTGTTGTGGTTCATTATATCGATTATCGAAATCAGATGATATTAAATCTGTATGATATCGTTTAATATTAGAATAATCCATTTTGGGAGATGAATAATCATTTATCTCCTCTTCATTTAATATTTTAATACTTGAAGCTTTTTGTCTTTGTTCATCTAGGAAATTATTTAATTGAATAGTTGATAAATTGTAAAACAACATCCGATCATCTTTAGTATCAGCTAAAGGGCTAAATGATTGAAAGATAAACAATTCAATAAAGTGGAACATTATTTCCAATCAACTTGTAGCATTGGATATATACAACCAGAAAAAGTGAACTAAACATGGTGAAAATATAGTTCAATAGGACTTAATAAAATTGAGGAATATAAAGTGTGAAATAAATGATGTCACATCATTCTTTGTTGAAGCAGCTTAACATGCAACTAATTATTTACAGGTGACTTATGTTGTTGAAAACTAAATCAGTTTTCTACATCATTATTGATATTTTGTCAGATACCTGTTAAATATACCTAGACTTCCAGCTAGTCTAGACTAATATTATTATGTCATGCTTTATAGATCAGATTCAGTAGTACTGAATTCAAAACTATAGCCGATATTTCTACTATTTTTACGTCGTGGTATCCAAGATTCATTTTTATTGCAGCACTGAAAATAGTGTAATTTTGTTCAATAAAACTGACACTCCCTTTTATGGTTTACGGAACTAAACAGATCAGCTTCATAATTTTTTTGTATGGATAACTTTATAACCATTATAATAACTCTATCACTAAGTATTCAGGAACAGCCATTTTGTAAAATCTAAATCATTGATTTATAAACCTTGTTTCTAATTTTATGAGCTAAATGTAGGTTTATATTTCTCAAAGGTCGGATAAGTTGATCTATCGATAACTTCAATGGAATATTACATTCCTTTATAAGAATAAGATAGTTTTGCTCATAGTTCTCGTTTATATTTAATCAGTAAAATGTATTATAATTTTCAAAATACTTTTGTTAGAGTAACGCAACAGTATAAACAGACAAATTTTAATCTGTCCCTACGGTTCAAATCACGTGATAGTTTACAATTTTAGCTAAACAAATATGTAAATTACTAAAAAAATGTAATTTAATTAAAAAAAACACGTTTCATTAGATAAATACCAAGAAAATTTACGAGTTAATTCAATGCAATATTTTATAGATTTATAGCTATTATTAATAGTACCTGTGGTAACAATCTATACGAATGAGTAGATTTTTCTCAGCAATTCAGTGAAAACAATGTGAACGAAAAACAAAAGTTCATTATCAATTAATCAGTGAAACTGATCGACCAATCATTTCGTCTCTTATGTATTTGATTGAATAAAGCCATCAATAACAATCATTCCAATTCTACATTTACGCATACAGACTCTTGCGTGGTAACTAATTTTATGATTAACTAATGTTTAGTCTTAACCAAATTTTAACAATCAACGCGGAAATGTGGCCATTGGATTAGGGTACTCAGCATCGTGTGTACTATGTTTTGATGTCAGGTGTCTCGAGTTAATCGGTAGGAAAACATAAGCATAGATTTGATGCTACTTTTAACCTGTCACAAGCGCCTGTTTGCCAGCCTGACAAAATTGATTAACCATATCAACTAGTGTTATTTTAAAAGCCACGTTTAAATCACTTGCTCGTAACTGGATGTTAGTGAGATGAAAAAGGAAATAAACAAGGGAATAGAAACCAAAATCGTTTTTCTAATATCCGATTAAACTAAAGTTTAAGTCGAACTATTATATAGAAAGGATGAAGTTATGCAAATAATTTATTTTATGCCCTAAACATAAAGGGATTGGATTGATGTGAAGTGTTAGAAAGTAGGATTCAGATGATATTACAATCTAAACATCCTGTTTTAATATTTATTTAAAAACCCATACAATTTACAATTTTCTGAAATTGGAGATTTACCGTTCAGATAGATTCTTATATAGCTGTTATTTTCTCAGAGTTGGGATGTTTAGTTATGTTTAGTTTATACAGAGCAGCAATAAAAACTTTAGATTTAAACTACAGAAGACAAAAACCACTAGAAATACTATTCATGTGTTTACTTGAGATGTTTTACAATTTATTTTTGTATTACAATATTTTATACACTTTGAATAAACTTATGTATTATTTTAATTAGTTACTCATTCCAAGTAGTGACCATCGCCTAATATTAAATTAAATCTTTCATTAAGTAACTTTAGGTTCCCGTCTGTCGGAATTACATTAAAGATAATTTATTTTTTGGCTTATCTGGTAAAATGTTTAACTGGTGGATTTCAATCATGTTAGCTAACGTTACCATCGGATGATATTTTTACTAAGTCGTTTATTAAGTAGATTCGCTAGTAGATTTGACAATGCGATTCTCATTGAGTTACGAAAATAAGACGCACATGATTAGGCTCAAAAATACTGGACTCTTTCTTTGGAGAGATTGTGTTTTAGAGCCGTTGAAGAGACCTAAAATAGGACTTAACAAATATCTACTGCTTCATGATAATCGGTAGCCTCCCCTCTAATGTCAGTCTTTCAAGAATGTCATATCTGAATATTGAAAATAGTAGCCTACAAGTTATAAAACGGGGATGTAACATAATCAATAAGTTTTTTATGAACTCACCACCATTTGAGAACAAAATGAAATTGGAGATCAGTGAAATTTTTTAGTCCGACTGATATATGATGACCTTTAAAAGTGATTAGTTTTAAAATATCACATGCCTGTTGTATAAGAGTTTCTGGTTTTCCGAACCGTCGCATGACAACTACCTGTATGTAATATCATAAGAAAGAAAATAATGATAATAGTGTTATACTAGGAAAAGCTAGATAATATAAGGTTTTTTAGACTTAGGTACATAGAATGATTCTCCTAGCCCAATTTACAAAGTCATATAGTATTTAAACTATCATTAACTTTTCGTGGAACTGCTGGAGTAATATAATTTATGACTTTTCACTAAAACAGTGTATTTTGAACTGCTACAATGAACAAACGGCTTGTCGTTGGTTATTTTGTAACCTGTATTTTCACTCTGACAGATAACTGGTAGTCAGATTGTTTTTAGCTAAATTAATTTTCTAATATATACTAACGTAGTTCATCGTTTCACAGACAACTCAGTAGTATTATTATTTTATTAAATCCAGTGATTAGTTATAACAGAAAACCGTCAACGAGTTTATACTGAATGACTTATTAAAGCTGTTACATTCAATTATCAAATAACTTCACAGTTGTAATGAATACTCTTGTAGTGATGATGTGACTTCACAATAGTCTAATACAACCAAACATTTATTTATGTCAAATCTTGTTAAACAGCATTTTATGGTATTTTATACTGTCATTGTAAATCCCCTTCAACGTAATTATACAATAATATCCCAATGAAATTTATCAAGTATATGTTAATCTACTGAACTTTAAGCCATACTTTTTCGTGTTTTCCTTATTTAGGGTAAACACCTCATTCAAAGTGCTTTTTCTTATTCTACATTAATTATAAAATAGTTACCTGGGGGTCCAAAATAATCTACGTAAAGCTTTTTGTATCACTTGACTATTACATTTTTAGCAATAAAAGTATAATTATCATGCCTATCAACTGATTCATATTTACATGTTAATTTATGAAATGAAAAAATTTCAAGTAATTAAAAATATGGCTTAGAAAATAAATTCTTTAAATAGCTGAGAGGACTCCAAGTATTCCATTAAGTAAACAAAAAAACAAAATTTATGAAGTATTCACTAATATTTAATGTGAAGTTTGCACATGCCTATGGTAATATATTCATTAATTTTGACGTGTGATTTTAATTAAATTCTTTTATACAAAAGAAGGAATAGATTATTTTATAATCATGCAACTATCATTATTATACATTTAGACTACATAATCAAAGTACATGAATGAATTGGTAACTTAATCAACAATCGAAATTGATGTTAATAGTTTAGTGATATTTTGGTTACCAGAGCCAAATTCATCAGTTTGATGCTCACATTGTTTTTATTTGATTAGGTAACCTAAATGAGTAAACAGATTGAAAACACTTTATTATTTTATTTGTCGTTTATACAAGTAAATAAAAGTTCAGTCTGTATATTTTATTATTCCGTTTATTTCTGAGGAAACATTTGAAGAAATTATAAATATTATGGTTGGAGACCATAAAAAATTATTAAATCATTTATACTATAGTCTTTCGAACTTTTAAAAATAGATCAGATCATGAGTCAATTGAAGCTAGACCACCATCGAAAACCTGGAAACACTAGACGGCCGTTTCTGTCTACTATGGGACTCCTCAGCACTGCGCATCCACTACCCCCCACTCGCGAGATTCGAACCCAGGACCTACCAGTCTCGAGCCAGAGCCTTTAACCGATAGACCACTGAGTCGTCATCCAACGGTGTTAATGTCTAACTTCAACCAATAAACGATTTTGAGCGACCGTTCACCAATTGTCTTCAGTGAGCTGATATCACTACAACAGACTTGGTAGAACTCCACTAGCCACTGCTTCCCACTGTAACTCAAGGAAATATCTCTTGAAGTCAGTCACTAGTGAGCATGTGATTATAGACCAGAGGGGGTTTTGTGGAGAATTTAGTATTTTCACAGTTGAAATCATGAGTCAATTGAAGTGCTCTGGTGCGAGACTGGTAGGTTCTGGGTTCGAATCTCGCGAGTGTGGGATAGTGGATGCTCAGTGCTAAGGAGTCCCATAATAGGACGAAACGGCCGTCCAGTGCTTCCAGGTTTTCGATGGTGGTCTAGCTTCAATTGACTCATGATTTCAACTTTTAAAAATAGTCTTAAAAGGTACAAATGATTCTATCTTAACCAAAATTTGTGCTCGAAACTATTAGAATTCATAATTAATTCATTTATTATGACATTTAAAATGGACTGCAAATTGTGACTGTACTATAATGATTTGTTTCCATTATTTACTATGTTTTAGTCATATCGTCATATCTTCAGTTAATTACTTTCGCTCGAAATGATGGTGAATACATCAATTCAGATACTTGTGAGCATTCTTAAAACAAATGAAGAAAATTTTTCATAACGTTTTTAAAATTGCTTCACTGTTTAGTCGTTCTCCAAGTTTCCTCAACTGATAACGCTCTGTGATGAAAACTGAAAAAAAAACTATTCGAGTCTAGATAAGTATTGATTGACAAATGATGACTTGTAGGGCAACTTATAAAAAGCAGGAGCGTAAATTACAAACGACAAAAATGAGAGTTAAAGTGTGTCGTGAAAAGTAAAGTGGAACATGAAGAATATCAAATTATTAGCAAATAGTAAGTTAATACTATGGTCTTCGAGTGAACTAACGATTCTGCAAGTAGTCTATCTACACCGCCTACCATTCCCAAATTTCTGTAGAACAACTGCCCAGTTCTTTTCAACTTTCAAAAGTAATCTAAGAGATAGCAGTTTGTGTTGAAAATAATCTTTTAACATTCAACACCTAAATTTTACTTTACACACTGAATGTTTTGTTTATTCGTACTTTCTTACTCTAGCTATCGTAAAAATGCATTTTGTAATAAGTAATAAAAACGATTGAGATTGGTTGTGACATGGAAGTACCCAGTATATTTTCTAGTTGTCAACATTTATTAAATATATAACGAAAACTATTTATTTACATTCCTAACTCATCTTGTGAAAGCGTGCAATTTTAATTTCTAGCATGCCTTTATTTTTCTCTATAAGGTTTCACTTTAATTTTCACTAGTTTAAATGATTATAAAATTTAAGTGCTATAGCAGTGGATAGGAAAATATAAAAACAAAGACAATCCCTTCGAACTTTCCAGATAAACAACCTCATGTGTAAATATTTCTTGACAACACTTATCTTTAAAAAGTCATAATATTCAAGATATATTAACATTTTTACAAGGCCGCTGTTTTACTTTATTGATCATAATCAGCATAATTAATTATTAACACACTTATACATTTAATATTTCAGTCCAATTTTTATGTTTCATTTTATTAGCTACTGAGACTCTAGAAGACAGGCAGAGGTAGTTCATTCACCAAAAACATGAATAAATGTCATTCACGTTGATTTCAAGCATTTCTCCATAATGAAATCAAGCCATCACTTAGACATTTAGTTCTGAAAATTTTAGTAACGGTGCATATCTTTTTATGCCTTTGTTTGAAGCAAGTTACATTTAGGTAAAAACTATTGAAAAATCGGAAAAGCAGGAAGACTCCTATGATTCCATGTCTTTTTACAATAAAAAACTTAGACATCTCAGAATTTAAACTTCTGGCTAAGTTATCCAGTTTCATTATCCACTCAGCTACTGAATGGAGCGTTCGAAGCGAAAGGTACTGGGTTCGAGTACCAAAGTAAAAATCAACTCTGAGATGCAGGTACATCCAGCTGACGAGTTCCGAATAGGACGAAACGCGCGTTCTGGATTCCACTACTAGCCACTATCCATCTCTGCTTACCATGCTTGTAAATTAGGGCAATAGGCACAGTATGCACATATGTCAATAAGAGACTGACCAGTTGCAGTCCTAAGCATCAATGGGGAGATTCGAACAAACAATAGTAAGTGAATTATCAACTACAGTTTTTATGTACGATTGGGGCTGGACTAGTCGGCATACTCGTTTCAAAACCTAAAGGAAACAGTCCTCTTAAAAAGAATTCATAAAAAGAAATGAAAAAATAACTAGCCAAAGTATCCACAGATTTTCAAAATAAATTACTTATGGACATCTCTAAGCCCATACTGATTAATTCGCGACACGTCATTGACTACATTTGTTCTTTTATCGCGTACAATATTGAAGAGATGTAATTATGAATGAATAAATGAATCTATTTGTAGAAGTTCTGTACAGAAAACTCAACTTATGGGTAGTCACAGTTAGATCCCTTTGTAGGACAAAAGAATTTTAGTCATTTCTATTGTGAAAACACTTAGTTTCTCTGATTACTTGACAACTTAGAAGATGAAGTTCAGCTGTCTAGTGAAATTTTGTTAGGAACTGGTATCCAGAAAGGTTCACTTTGAAATTAATGACTGAAATCAACACTTGTATGTATGAAATTGTTCTTTACAAATTTATGGTTTAAAATAGACTAACAAAAATAATAAAGAATTTACTGTCACATCTCTTAAAAAAAATTATTTAGAACTATTATTATTCAACTACGATATTTAAAATTGTTTATTAATTTTAATTGTAAAAAGCTATATTTCATACTACGTAACGCTTGTCACTATGAATGCTAAGTTAAAATTTATTACAGACAAGGTGATTTTATGAATTGACTTTTGTTACAAAGTCAATAAGGTATTTGCATAATATTGATATATTACAGAAATAAGTGCTTAATCGACAGATTTTACTTGAATATACATACATATCAAATAGCTGAACCACTAATATTTCGACTTAATTTTCGAAAGGTATTCAAGTACTTTGAAGCTATTCTTATATAACTGAGTGTTAACAATTTAGTTTGATATATAACTAGATGCTAATTCACATAACTCTGAAAGTTCTAGTTTACTTGTGATTCACTAAAAACTTATTAAACTGAATAGATATACCATGAAAAGTGATAAATGCTGATATCTCACTTTTATTGTTAATACATCACCAATTGTTGGACTAAAGATATGCTTAGTTTGATCCCATCTTTGTTCAGGAAATTTTAAATTCACATCATTTAAGTAAGTTGCTTGTAAGTGAGCTAATGATTTCGATGAATTAGAAATCGGTGCAGAAGAGGAGGTAGAAAATGATGAAGAAAAAAGACGACCAGTAATTGTCCATTTATCATTTGAACCACCTTTCTGGTTTAAAGGAACAGTTGATGTATACAGAGGTTTAACATCTGGTAATTCCTTATCACTTTGTAATTCATATATTGAAGAAAATGCCGGTGTATTATATTTAAGTGATATCCTGAAAACATCTTTTGATAACGAGGAGACTGAGCCACTGACTCCAATCACTTCACATATCAGTGTACCAGATAAATACTCTGTTTGAGCTTCTATTTGACATAAACGTTTCAATAAAACTTCCTGTTGCTGTTTTAAACTAACATCATTAGTTATTAAATCACGTGCACTACTCCTGGATTTACTCAATCCCTTATTGCAATGGCTATTATTGTTATGAACTAAAAGGGTGGCAGATTTTTTCAACGGTATATGAGTTGCTGTTAGATCTAAATTACTTTGTCTATTCAATTGTAAGAATGAATGTTTATGATCTACCGCAGTTGTTGTTACCGGTGATGCTGTTGTAGCAGCACGTGGACGATTTTCATTTTGTAATAAATAATTATTTGTTGTTTTCTTTGATTTATGTCGTATTAAATTCAACAAGGAGGAATATTTTGGACGTTTTTCTATTATGGTTGGTAAATAATTTGTTGTATCATAAATGCTATTATTATTATTATTGTGAGAATGATTTTGATAGGGATTAGTTGTATTGACAATGGTAGTTGATGGTTGAATATGATCTGATCCGTTAAATCCAGTTAAAGCTAATGTTGATTTGCTTAGTTTATTTTTAGATAAAAGTGATGAATTGTTCATATTTGTTGAACACTGACTTAACTGAATAATTTCTTCACCACTTTTACCACTTCCACTACTACCACTGTTAACGTGATCACAATACAGTTCACCTTGAGAACGTGCTCGGATTTCTACGAGACATAAATACCAAAAAAGAAAATTTAAATATTTTAATTTGTAACAAACAAAGAAAATCACTTTATCAAGCATTAAAGTTATAGATATATATTTGTCTTATAACTTTACTTAGTGTAAAGCCAATTAGATAAGATAGTTGAAGATAATAGATTTTTTTTATTGGCTGTTTGAATCTTCACATTGATGTTTAGGATAGAGATTGGTCAGACTCACATCGACAAATGTTCATCCTGCGAGGATTGCCTCGATATTACCTCAAGTCATAAGCATCGTAATCAGAGCCACTAGTGGATAACGCGATGGCTTTTGAAGTGGACGGTACCGGGTTCGAGTTGTGGAGTAATCACCAACTCTGAGATGCAGGTAAAGCCGTCCGACGAGCCCCAAATAGGACAAAAAACGTATTCTGAATTGCACTGCTAGCGATCATCCATCTCTGCTTATAGTTAAGGACAGTTTTCACCATAAACGGATATAATGTGAAAAATCATTGAAAAACGTAAGTAGTTCTGGACATTGAATCATTTTAATTTGAGACTACCTAATATTGCGTATACATAACCTACATGACATCAAACCCAAGTGGTTTGATTTATAAATCGATGTCAATAAATTGCAATTAACTGGATTACCAATATTGTGCATTGAGATTGATGTTGTGTGTTGCCACAAATGAACACCATTGGGCAGTTTTAAGCCAGTATGAACTAACTGTTTAAAACATACCCATTTCACGTGGTTCTTAATCTGATGCTAGTCTTTGACGTAAACTATTCTCAAAATGAACTAATCTTCACAAATTATTCATAGTAACAATGAAAAGTTAGACTGTTTTTAGATGATTTGGTAACTTTTTATTGGGCAAAGTGGGTTCAAATGTTACAGGATTGAAGAAATCTCTTGCTGACAAGTAACGACTAGAGAGAAACCTGGATGCAAAACTTCCTATAGACTGTATTATGCCGCAAATTATTAAATCATAGTCTATGCAATGTGGAGTCATTCAGACTACTGGAGGATATTTCAACTTAGTCGACAGAATTCTATCGACACGAAGTACTGGACAAACATAGAATTGGCTGCTGCTGATTGTGGATCTGTATGTAATTAGAATCGAAAAACCTGTAGCTATATATAATACAAATAAAAAATATTCAAAACATTTAAAAGATGGAAAAACGTGTATTTCCTGGCAAACATGACTTGAATAAATCCATCTGTAGCTCTTCAAGGTTACTAATGTAACAGCAGTCTCCGCATCAGTATGCCTCAGAATACACAAGGGAAAAACCAAGATCCTCAAATACAACAGGGGGAACGAACACTAATTCGATCACACTTGATGAAGAAACTCTGGAAGTATAGAAAGTTTGACATACCTGGACAGCGTCATCGATGAACAAGGATGGTCCGATACAGACGTAAAGTCAAAGATCGGCAAAGCAAGGACAGCATTCCTACAGTTGAAGAACCTGTGGAACTCAAAACAGCTGTCAATCAATATCAAAGTCAGAATTCCCAATACGAACGTCAAGATAGTTCTACTGTATGGAGCTGAAACGCGGACATCCACCAAAACCATCATCAAAAATATATAAGTATTTATAAACAATTTTTTGCTCAAGATACTCACTGTCTTTTGGCCGGATACCATCAGCAACAGCCTACTACGACAGAGAACAAACCAGCTTCCATATTAAAAGGAAATTAAGAAAAGACGCTGGAATTGTATAAGACATATTTCTTTACAGATTTGTATGGAATAAAAATTAAGAATCAAACCCAGAAATTTTTGTCGAAAATATCCATAAACTAGTTAAATGGGATCGTTTTCGATCCGCTTACCTTTATATAACTTCCAATGTTTCATATACTCATGTTCAAGACAACGAATCTAAAAGCAAGCATAAAACTATGATATGGATTAACGAAGTATAAGCTTCTATTACTTTGGGAAAAGAAAATACATTTCAGTTAATAACAGTGTTATGTTTGAACCACACGGACGATATTAAAAATAGCATTGATGAATTGGTTGAAATTATACTTACAGTAATAGTTTTGCATAACACTTTGTTTGTCTACATCTTATTAAGTAACTAACATTTTATGAATTGTGAAACACCCAGAGTAATGGGATTGACTGATTCTCGTTTTCGTTTTACGTCTTTCGCCAGGCATAGAATATTTATTTGTTCAAGTTTTTTGTTTTATTAATCGAAGTATGCAGGAGCTAAACCGCAATTAGCTAGAGATCTAAATTTCTTAATAACCATGTAAACACCTTTCATTATGACGTATCAGCCTATTAAAAAGTCTGTCCTGAGAATAACTGTTTTTATTTACACTATGTTTTTATGAGAGTATGTTAATATTGAGATGTAGGAATATCATTTTAGTCAAGTTTTATTTAAAATAATTTATTAGAAAATAAGGTAAAACATTTTTTAAGTTATATGAGACAGTCGATGAGATAATAGTGGCAAAGTCAACAAGTTTTTGTTCAGATGTACAAAGCCTTATATTTCTACTCACGAGGTTTCAAAGTCAACGGGCAAAAATAGACAAATAGGGGCCAGAGATGTTTTGTTTTATATTTTTGGTGATTGATCGGGAACTTTAATATCGCCGATTTTTAACTTAATTGTTTTAAATTTCATAATAAATGTTAAAAATGACCAACTTTTATCCAAATTTTAATCCTTTCTGTCATATGTTTCTAGCACTATATAAGATAGAAGTGTTACTCGTTACAATGACTTATTGATTACAGTATTTGACTTACAACAAATAAATCGTTAAATAGAACTTCATCTATTTTTTAGATTTAGGACCTTAGATATTATCATTGGTCCCACAACTGTAAATATGACTCAAAGTTGAGTATACAAACTTGCATTTGGTTAGATTATTACTTTATTAATTAATTAATTTTAGAACTCAAAGTTATTGTTAGTAACGATATATATACTTCGATAAATTAGAGATTTGCTGAATCATCATAGAAACAATAAAGAGGATGTCACAGAAAATGTTACCCTTGGAAAAGATGTAACTGATAGCTTAAAAATGACTGTCAATAATTTAACAAGGTCATAAGTAAGTCATCAAATACCTGTCGGAATGACAAACTTAGTATTCGCATTTCAAAAAAACATATAAATTTGCTGAAATCTACTATAAATTGATCGTACTTTTATTCTCTGGAATGAAACGATATGCCAATTAACAACTCTGTAATTGAAACATAATTTAGGCTCATAAGTTGCAGATATTACTAAAAATGAGTATATTAAAATATATTGTCATCAGATCTTAGTCAGACTTATGAAAACGTGGTATTGATATAAATGGAAACCACGTTTTATTTAAAAATTATTATGTGAAACTATATGACAAAAGAAACTCCAGATACTTCAGACATATGTTTTCTTGATTTTCTAAATCACCTGCTGAATTCTTACTTTTATCTGCATTAAGTTTATTTTAAAGATTATTTTAAGCTATGCACAGGAGCTTTTTTGTTAATAAACAAGCTACACGATGCTTGAAGCAAGGGTAAAATAGTTCACTTAACTCGGACTATTCTCGATACGTGAACATTCAACTAGTTGGAAGATATGTTTTATGAAACTGAATATGTATTCATATTACTAATTTAAGTTTAGTACTATGTATTTAAAATAATCGATAAAATACGTTGTATGACGTAGGTCTAATAGCATACGCACCTTATCATGGAAACTGACACCTGTTCGTCAATTTAAACTGATATCATTATGTGTTGTACCAAAAAAAAACCTTTAAACTACTGAGACTTTCACTGTCCTTTTCTATAACTAATTGCATTATATACAGTGATCAGTCACAAGACTGTAACCAAGGTGATATTCAAGTTCATTGCAAGTACAAACACATATGAATTCGACATCAGTAAGTAAAAAAGAAATCAAATTCTAATGATCAATACTTTCTCTTGTTCTACTTAATTACAACTTGACCTAAATGAAAAAGTGAATAAAATTAACTGATTTAAAACAGTCTTTAGTTTATTATTTATACAATTCGATTCGCAACTAAAAATCAATAAATATATGTACATATATGTATAGTTTGGTGTTTTAATTATTTCCTTGTAAAAGTACTCAAGTATGTGTAAATATTAAATGTATCTTCATTAATATTATAGTCAATATTTAATGCTGTACTTTTGATTAAATCATCTTAAAATATTACCGTCTTTAAACTAAAACAAATTAATGAAATTATAAAATTGAAGTTTATTTGGTTACAGGGCATCATACAGGTAATCATCAAAAAAACATCAATAATTTCCGAATACGCATAAATCAATATATAATTCTTATTAAAATGTATAATAAACACTTTATATGTTTATCATAAATAGTTTTATCAAGAACTCAAGAACTTCTTCTAATAATGAATTATATCAGTTCTATGGTGAAATGATCTTTTTTCATAGTTATACATTTCTTATACATTTCATAAAACAAACATGTATGATTTATCATTGTTTAATGGATATAGTATTTATATATATATATATATATATATATATATATATATATTTGAAGAAAGTTGTCTTCAAAAAAAGTGAAATGCGAGAAAAAAATATCCAAAGGAAAGAGTTAAGAAAAGAAATTCATTTTAAAATTGACATCCTAACATTACAATCCATCATTCTGTCAGTGAGTGATAAGGGTCACCCATTTTACCACATGGTTTATATGCATATATACCAATTATCATTTAATCACTGACTGATGGAAATTACTATAAATAAATAAAGCATCATAAATAGCTCAATTTTTGTTTCTTGAATCTATGTATAGTCTTCTTTTAATTAATACTAAACAATGAAATATAATATGTTGGTTGTCACAGTTAACATTACATCAAACTACCCCATGTTTACTATTCTTTGATCAAGAAGTTATTTATTCCTTTTGTTATGAACGTATAACAATCGTTATTGTACATGAAACGTGCAATGATACGGAAAATACGTACGAGCAGTCTTGATTGCTATTCGGTCCTTCCTAACTGCCTAGCCCAGCCAGTTGAGTCCAGAACACAAATAACAGCCTCGGAAATATGAATCATTATTCACAAGCATACTGGGTTTATATACTAACCAAACAGACCCCATATACCAAAAAATAGAAAAATAATATTTGTACAATAATTGGCCAATGTGGCTATGGATAGGGGGAAAGTAATCAATAATAATAGTTCAAAGGTCAAAATAAGGTTACGGTAAGAGGAACACGAATACAATTAGGTCAGTTATTTAACAACTAAACAATAGGAATTAGGCATATTACCTTTGTCCATAATAGACCTCAGATTTACCATTCATGATTCACCAGGGGATATAACACCTTTGTAGTCAGTTGAGTGTGTGTATTAAATATTAAGAAGCTGTCCAATGACTAATCTATGAGTAATAACTAACTTTTCTGATTTGGTCTTTACTATTGACAAATGTGTTTGAATCAATTCGCAATATGACCACTATCCACTATAGTTAATGATCTATATCATTGCATGTACAAGTTAGATGAAAGTGGCAAAAGAAAGCCAAATCCGTTTATGAGACTTAAATAAATTTTAGACAAATACGTAGCGTTAGACTGCAGAATATATAGATTCTGTATATTACAAAAGCAGTGAACATTATCTAAACGTAGAATCAAAATTTTTCCACTACCTTAGTTATAACATCTGATATCTTGATTCTTATCCGAACTTCAATGAGATAATTAATTTCATTTTAAGCATTACATAAACCATGGCATTAACCTTCTGATTCGAAGACTCCCGATTCCTTACATTTATCAGTTTTATCTTCTAGAATATTCATACATTTGATTTATAGATAGACTACTGTTTAAACTCATTTTTAATCATTCCTCATTATTTATTAACCTACATCAACACGTCAAACTCAACTTCAATTAAGACTTTTCTTCTAAAACGGATGTATACTATTTTATTCTTAAAAAACTAACGCTAAACTTCTCAGCTCCAGACAGTTGACGAAAATCAGTGAAAAAAATGTATGTTTGCTATTTTTCTAGAACAGTTACTCTTCCTTTCTTTCAATTTAGATGTGGTTTGACCATGTAACGACATCTTTCAATGTATCCGCTCTGACACTACCTGATTAGCATACAATATCGAGGTACTATGAATAATTCCCTTTCATTTGAAATTAATCAACTAACTAGTATATCAATACTTCAATATACAGCTATGTAAGCTTGCTTAAATAATAACTTGTATAGCATAAAGAAGACAGTACCATCCATTAATATTTGATAAGCTGAAAGGAATGTTGAATTAAGAAAATCCTTTAAATCTATACATCAATATGATTATAAATTTCGAAATCAGTTATTGAGAACTCAATGTATTTACTGTTTGCTAATATATATATGACAATACGTAACAAGACATATGCCTATTTAGTTGAACATACAGTTGAATCAGTATAGATCACAACATTCTAGATAATAAGATTCAATAAAAAGCATTAATGATATTAAGCTAAAACAGGGTGTCAGAAATTAGAACAGAAGAAAGAGTTGAGCAGTTAGATGAAGATGAAATATAACTGGTTTCGTGTTACAGTGATCGATTTTCCAATCCAGTCAATAGGTGTACTTTCTATTATATTGTTTCATCATTTATTTATACTGCACTGACCAACTATAGGGTGAACGTCAATCAACAAAAAATTAATAAATAAATAAACAAGTTCTTGTCAATCGTGTCTTAGATTTTTTAACCCCACTAGTTACTACTGTAATTATTTTTTTTACGTTTATGCCTAAGATAATATAATGAAGTCGAAATTCATACGGTAGGAAAATTAAATAAATCTCATTGTTATCCTAAAAGTTTAGTCAAAATTGTTCAGTTTGAAGTGAACTTACTTTACAAATGGTCTTTATTTACTTGGACAACCAATAAAAACTAGGATCACTGAGCAGGAATTTTTCTGGTAAAGGATTACTCAGTAATGTGAGTCACAATTACATTTTTTACTGAACATTTGACCTTCATGCTTCGTTATGAATACGCTATCCTTAGCTTACTGAGTTAGGATTGTTAAGATTTCTATAATATCATACCACTGAGTACATGTACAAACTACACGAGGGTAAACACTTATTGATATACGAATTCACTTCTTGTCTTCCGTAGACTTGAATATGTATGGCTTGATATTACTCAGCAGTTTTTAAGCACTCGAGGAAACTTTATCAATACAATTTGATAAGTTAATCAAGTTGAAATTATGATGATGAGCATTTCTTTCAAAATCACATTCAATGTTTGTGCGGAAAATTTCATTTATCAAAAGTCTATAGAGTAGATATTGATTTTCTATGTTAAACATCGTGGAAATATTCTTATCTATTCTAATTATTACTACCATATGTCAACTAATTAACTGTTGTAGCTATATTCATGACTCTTTTTGGTGTACATAAAATCACATTCAGTATTACGTAATAGAATTATATAAAAATATAATACAGAACCATAGGTGACGTTCTATCATGATCTAGTTTGTCACAAACATACACACACATTACTACAGAATAGCAAAACCACAATAATCAATAGTAATCGAAAGATACTGGAGGAAAACAGGTTATATGAATTGATAGAAATATAAATTAACGACGACATTGAAAAGTTAAAAGAAAAGGAAAATTGCATTCCAACACATCATTTTGCCTGAAATATACTACACAAAGGAATTCGAGCTAATGATTTCTGACACTATGAAGCTATCAACGGCAAATGCGAATAAACCGATTTATCTACTACATTGTTTATCGACAATACTATACGTTCAACACTTAATGTACGTCATTTACTTGTGTATAATTATATTATTTATTGAGCTGACTAGGTCAATGAGTTCCATCAGTTTTATAATAAGTAAATTACTGTTATTTATATTAGTATCATCTGATATACATGTTAGTGATTAAAAATTTATCTACATTAATATAAGCAAAACTCAAAACATACAATGGAAAAATGTAACGTAGCTTACTGTATTCAACCTATGCTGTAATTGATTGATATTTTCTAATGCCTGAAAAAAAATTTAAGAACAAGGAAAAGCACACAGTAGAACAAATATAAGCAAAAAAATAATGTAAGTAATAAAAATGTCATTTAATAAAATAATAAAAAAAGATCTTTCTGAGAATATTTCTTATCAAAGTAACTTTGGATATTTCTTTTTTTATGTTGTCACTAACCAATTTATCATTATTATGATTATTATAAAAACAATCAAAAGTTTGAGAAAAAGTTGACTCCCTCATGAAGAAAATCATCTGATTAATAATAATAATAATAATAATAATAATAATAATAATAATAATAATAATAATAATAATAATAATAATAATAATAATGGCAATTATTACCAAGTACGTCAATCTACAAATTTTACAATCACTATCTTCTTTTGTATATGCTATACTTGCAAGTATGTTTAAGTATAATTTCAACATAGATTTAAACGGATATATACATATATATATATATATACATGAAAACTATTTGTTCTACTTATGAAGTACTCCAAATTATTGAATTAAGTTAAAATAAGTAACTGTCAATGAGTCATTTACTATCATTAGGAATTTATAAAACTATTAATTAATGGTTTCTATGTACTGTAAATGTTCAACTAGATATGCCTAATGTTATTTTTTTCTATAATTTCACATATATAGAGTATACACTAAAGTTAACCAGAATATTTTATTTATCGTTCTTTTTTAAATTATAAAAACACCTCTTATAATACTATGCTAGTCAATATTCATACATCCTTGTATTTGGAAAAAGTAGAACATAAAAAAAATTAACCAAATGATTATGCTTCGAAATCAATTTGAAAAAAAAGTGAATGCCCTGATACTAGCATAATGTGAATTTCAATGATTCTGTATGTTGGCAACTTTGACAAACTTATACTTACAGTATATATGAAAATATTATAAAAGGCTTTAAGATTATGTAGGCATTTTTCATGATTAGCAGAGATGGATAGTGGCTAGCAGTGGAATCCAGGACGCGCGTTTCGTCCTATTTGGGACTCGTCAGCTGGATGTACCTGCATCTCAGAGTTGATGTTCACTCTGGGACTCGAACCCAGTACCCTCGCTTCAAACGCCATCGCGTTATCCACTCGGCCACTGAGTGGATAACGCGATGGCGTTTGAAGCGAGGGTACTGGGTTCGAGTCCCAGAGTGAACATCAACTCTGAGATGCAGGTACATCCAGCTGACGAGTCCCAAATAGGACGAAACGCGCGTCCTGGATTCCACTGCTAGCCACTATCCATCTCTGCTAACCATGCTTGTGAATTAAGGTATATCGAGGCAATACGCACAGTATGCACATATGCCAATTAGAGACTGACCAGTTGCAGTCCGAACAAATCGATGGGAAGATTCAAACAAACAATACTAAGTTGAATTTTTCATGATTATTTTGAAGATTTCTTAAATATGTTACAGTAAACTTATTTGTGTGCTTAAATGATATCGCTTATGTTACTAAAAGTTTGACAGAGTTTACAGCTCTATCTTAACTCGAGCTCATCATTTGGATATTCCGAAGCAATTTTATAATATCCAGTCTAGATTGATCAAATTAGATAAAATGTTGAGTATGCTGATTGTTTTATCAATGTAGGCCATCGTATCATCCTGATGAATCTGTGACTGACGAAACCTCCCCATGGATGCTGAATCTACTCTGGTTGGTTGTCAACTCAAACTGCCTGTGAGATAGGTGAGATGTCCATCTGCTCACCAACAAACAAGTGAATTAGACACCATTTTGTTTTTTATTGCCTTTTAAGATGTGAAACACGAATTTTGACAATGGCAAACATAAATAGATTGCTAACGTGCACTCACAAGTGTCATTACCACTGCATCATTTCTCTGTTTTACTGGATTTCTCGTCCATTTAATCTTACCTTATTTATGTGGTCTGGCAACTTAGGTCAACGTAAATCTGTAGCGGGCTCTATGTTTATTGTAATTAAGGGACTAAGTAGAGGATCTACCACGTGACAATGGAATATATTGGAATTCAGTGGTAGGAAGAGTTACTTAAAGGAAACGGTCCAGACTAGTATTGAACAAAACTGATGGTCAATAACCATGGATTACGTTAATTACAACGAAAAAAGCTTGAAAAGTCCATCATTATCTTTTAGTGGCATGGGATCTGACTCCAGGTAAACCGTTTGCCGCTTGTTATCGAAATATACATGTCAACAATCCCCGTACATAATCATCAACTTAAATTGCGTTGGTGAATATCGGAATTAAATAACTCAAATACGATAATGGGTTTTCGAATACATTTATTTCGTACAATCGTTGATAGGATAGCGAATCAAAACGAAATGACGTGTGGTGGTGAAGGGGAGTTTTTATCAGCGTGACTCAATATTTATAGTCAAATAGAAATTAGTTACAGACACATAATGAGTAAGGTAAGTAATTAGCACACATACGATCACATAAAAAGTCAGGATTATTGAGCGAGTAAGTGACGAGGTAAAAGTGTGGCTTGAGAAAAATGAATAGACTGATCTGTCCAGAGGCTAGACTTACCCATATGGGCTTGACATATTACCAGCCCCAACAATCACTTTTACTACCCGAATATTTTGAATAAATCAGTATCAACGCTACTAATTTTTTACCCATCTCTTGTATAAAAAAAAGACAATAGACACTATCTCCTTTTGGAACACCTTGTAAAAGTACCTAAGTTTAAGAATCTAGAGTATGAGAATCTATCCTCCTGACTTTTCACCTGAATCAGAACGTGACTGATTTTGAAAAGCTGATCCTATATGGGGAAAGTTCAGGTCTCATATAAAAAAGGCTATCACATGTATAGTATGAACATGCTAGTGTCAGATGCTGCGTTGTCTATTCAGAAACAATGTCATTTCTTTTTTTAAATAACAGTAAATGAATATGATAGATATAAGTGAGCTCATTGCCATGACCTCAAGCAACCTCTAAGCGTGCAAAATAATTTTTGGTTTCTAACGTCATTAATTGTTTCAGCATTCTAAAAGTCTGGCATAACCAAGCAAGTCGCAGATAACACTTAAGGGAAAAATAAAACAAACTTAATATGGGAAGCTAAACAAATTCTGAAGATTAAATAAACAGCCTATCAAACTGTTTAAGACATAAATTCATTTAGTGTTGTTTGTTTGAATCTTCCCATCGATGAGTTAGGACTGCAACTGGTAAGTCTCTAATAGGCATATGTGTATACTGTGCGTATTGCCTCGATATTGCCTTAATTCACAGTATGCACATATGCCATTTAGAGACTGACCAGTTGCAGTCCTAACACATCGATGGGAAGATTCAAACAAACAATACTAAGTTGAATTTAAACTTCACCCCATCGCACAAGCAAGTGACTATTAGGACTCAGTGGCTGAATGGATAACGCGATGGCGTTTGTAGCGAGGGTACTGGGTTCGAGTCCCAGAGTGAACATCAACTCTGAGATGCAGGTACATCCAGCTGACGAGTCCCAAATAGGACGAAATGCGCGTCCTGGATTCCACTGCTAGCCACTATCCATCTCTGTTTAAGACATAGTTTTGTCAATACAACTGCCCATTTATCATAGTGATATTTTGACTGACTGATACTTTAATTGAACTAATCTTTCTCATTAACCTTAAAGATCACCGATTCTGCCACATTTCGAAGACTTCTATCATCAACTTAATCTCTAAAATTTTCCAAATCCCAAGTCACATAGTAATGTTTTGTTTAAGCTCCTCTTGAAAACAGATTCCTGTAAAATTTGTTCGTCATATTACAAAATCCACATTTAGTAATTACAATATCTAATATCACAAATGAAATTTGTAGTGTTTTGTTTTATACTGATTTAGCTATTGTTAAGGGTTGGAATAACGTTAGCATTCTTGCATTATCTGTCAATACAATCAGATTATAAATCTAACCATGTATACATGGAAATTCTCTGATTTCACCGTAAAATTATCATGATTGTTCCCTTTTTATGTTATATTCATCGAAAAAAATATTCACAATCAATAATATCACGTTCTAAACTGAATGTTATTTAAACATGTAAAGATATGTGATAGTAATAGGAGTAGCAGTCATACTAGTACAAATAGTAGTAAACTTAATAATTTTCCATTATTTCAAGAACGATTGATTTACATTTTGAGCAAGGGGATTGTAAAAACTACTCACCTTATTAGCTGACATTACATCTTGGTCTAATTCAGCTTGTTGTAATTGGGTTGTGTGCCATTCAATATGTTCTCTAAAACGGAAAGATAGTGTTGTTTATATCATGGTAATTATTAAAATGACAATTTAAACTTAACCCTCCTTTTGAATTAAGATACAACTTACTATCCAGTTTTTTATCAACTTTATTGAATTACTGTATTTAATGTGCATATCATTTTAAAGAAACTTTGGGCAATATTTTCAGATAAGTAAGGTTAACGATCAGGGAGCTGTATATGATTAACATGTGTCTAATTACGTTAACTGTCGTAAGTTGCTACTAAGTTGTTGAATACATATAAATTATATAGCCAATACATAAACCCCGAAAAATATTTACCCATTTATCCTACAGTTAGAAGATAACCTTGATCAAATTAATTGTTTACGTTTAGAAATGTGACATTATGAATCGTCATTTTTTTGGTTTGGCTATAAATGATCATATTAAAAATGTTTACAATAAGCTGAAGAAAGTTTGATGAAACGGAAATTTTAGGTTAGCTAGAACTCTATAATTAAACAATCTACCCCAACCGAATATTAATAACAGAATACTGGAAAACTATTTGTCTATTTGTTAGTTAAATGCCACATAAGATTCATGAAGCATATCTGTACGTATGTAAGCCTAATATAGAAGACGCAATAACTGAGAATATGAATTATCATAGAAGCCAAATGATTTGCACTTTTCAGAAATAAAAGACGCAATATGTAGCTCAAGAATCGACACTTATTAACATAATCGAGCTTTTTAAGTATGTACTATTGAAGATGAAGGGGTCCAAGGTGTAAACTAGATTTCGGATGGCTAACTCAAAATTCGAAGATTATTATTCATCATGTTTAATGGTGCTGATATGATGAGATCTTAATCACAGAATCTCACAACTACCAGTATCATTAACAATACTAGCAAAATTTATTAGTTGTAAATATACTTCTGAACACTTTCCATTACGATCAGTCACCTGGCGAAAGTGAATTCCACGTACAAGTTTGTGTTCAATTTTCCAGACAGTACAATCTAGTTGGAGTGAGTTCGTCGTAAATGTAGATGAAATCATTATGATTTATCTCTTTGGAACAGCATCTGTTAGAATACTAACGAAAACAACGAAATAGTTTTAGCAAATGATACTGTGTAATAGGTTACGTTTGTTATATACATCATCGCTGTACGAATACATATCTCAGCTGGCTGATGTGATAAAATAACTCTTATCATGGCAGTTCCTCATAATCTTTTACAATTGATTAAACAGATTAGTGTTTAAAAGTATTTCTGTAGCTCTTGAAATTATCCGGAAGTTTGCTTGTACTTAATGTACTTTGAAGTTCCCGAAATCATAAATGTTAAAAAATGACAGAAATATAAACCCTTAATCTACGTCAATATGAATTAAATGGACAGTGATATTAACTCTAGCTCACAGGAATAAATTTTCGAGCAATTAAAATTAATATACAAAAACGGTATGACATTGATTTGTAGTTAAAATAAAGCTAACACCACATCTAAGAAGACAATTAAGTATTTATTTTATGATACGAATTAATTAAATTAAGCATTTGCTTTAACAATGTCTTCAAAAACTTCTTTAAAATTAATTTGATAGCTACATGGTTAAAGATCAAAAAGGTTTTGTTAGAGGATGGCCGTTATATATATATTGTCCTTTTATTAAAATCACTCGAATTTTTAAGATTGTTTACTTAAAACTTATTGTTCAGTTCGACAAGGAGGATGGAAAATGTTTCAGACTTATTAGCCGAAGTGGAAAAGAGGTACAAAGTAACATTATTCAAACAACTGGCCTCAAGTTGTTAGATATTGTTGAACAATTGGTCTATTGACAAAAATAAATTTTCGTCTTAACTGTTTTAGAAGACGGTCGCTATTTGAAACAATGAATATCATACTCAAGTTTATCAAATGCTGATTGAATTTAAACATCAAGTTAAGTTTTCTATTTTCAACAATTGATTATAACACATATTCTGAAATTAAATAGGGATTAGGGGAGCTATCCCAACTTAAAGACGTTCTCAGAGTGACACAAAAGTGAGGCAACATTTGAACGTATATGGAACACATTATTTGGAAACAGGTGACCGATAGAATTTTTCGAGTTCACACTCTCATGAAGGTATCACTAATCCGAGGCATCTGACATTGGTAAAATGCATGATTATGTCATATGATTTTAGAGTATATCGTTGTTATCAAAGAGTACATTGTAATAATCAACATTCTTATAAGCGTAAGCTTTTCCTTGGTAGGAAGAAAATGGTCACCAAACTAATGAACTATATTCTACAATCTATCTTACTCGCATTACATGTTAACGTGTGATCAAGTGGAAATCATGGAACCAAGTTAGTGCTTGACGACTGATGTGTTTATACAACCTCACTCCACAGTGATTACTCAACTTTCTTAAAAGTTTCTTTTTCTGCATCAGTAACTGAGGTCATTGACGACAACCGTATATATCTTAAGAAAAAGAATTTCTAAGGCTCAAGAGATACTTCTTTAGCCAACAACATCAGGTTCAAGGCCTTTAAATGAGTATATTCATGACTATGTTGCTAAAAAATGTTGATAGATACATGTAAGTTTAAAATAATATGTGAAAATTCCAACCTAAAAATTGCTAAAGTGACAAATATTATTGCATTACTGTGTTAACAGGTAAAGAAAGTGAATTAAAAAGCCAAAAAATCACTATGTTAGATTTTTTATAACTTATATTATTCCTAACAGACGTCAGAATCATTACATTATTCATAAAAGTTTGTATGTCACCTCTTATAAGTTATTAAATTATTTGCAGTGGATTCTTAAAGGAGATGATATACCTCACAAACACCTGGCTTGATAACTTACATTTGTTAACGCCAGTTCATTAGTATATCACATAAAGTATTCATCAAATATCAACATACATTTCAAATGCTCATTGCCTTTTACCTGGCTCAAATGAAACAGATAAAAGCCGGTTGTGTATATCATGAGCTAAGTTTGAAAAATTTTAACAATTATTACTGAACTTGTAAGTCACTGATAATAAATTAGCCGTCAAATATTGAAAGTTTTAGTTGATGATGTGAATAAATAAGTTATTTTGGGGGTGGATAATGCACATTGTTGTGCAGCATGCTTTCCAGCATTTCTTTAGTTGAATGCAGTTTATTTAGTTTTGTATTAATAAGTAAGCTCTGGTTAGAAACCAACAACCATTTTTATGTATGCTAAACAATAATTAAATTATTTTATAACTCAGATGTTGTTGATAAAAACCCAAATGTTCAATGAATGTCTTAAGATAAACCAATAATTAAGATAATAAAAATAAATACCATATTCGATGACTGCTTACTTCAGCCCAGTTTTTATTTGATTAAAAAATATCCTTGTACGTATTATCCTAGGTGTTTTCTGTACGGTTGGTAAAGCTCGACAGTTAGGCAGTCCAATAGTCATCGTTTCAGCTGTTGCATCAACTTGTCTGACTACCATATTAAACCCCCTTGTACCTTCTAAATGGTCTAACATTTTTACTTGATATTTGTTTGAAACTTTTGGCGAGTCTTTGTTCATACTCAAACTGTTGTTTGTCTGGAAATCAGCCCAAAATTTTGGATTGTGTATGTCGGAATTAATTTTTTCCAATGCCTGCGGAAGTGAACAACTAAATCCTGTCAGGCTTTGTTGACAAAGATCATTGAAAATTATAGGATTAGGTTTCGAATATTCTTTAACACCATTGTTTACCAATAAATGTTGAAGTGTTTTGGGTTTATGATGGTCAGAGCTACTGATCTCCTTTGAAAAGGATCCTTCATCCTTGTTCTGTAAAAAAGTCAAGTAACAGATGAATGCCATTAGTAAATAAAGCAATATTCAATTCTTATTTTGTACCTTGGCTAACAATCTCGGAAATCACCAAAGAAGTGGTTTCTGATATGAGTACTGAGATTTCAAATAAAATCCCTTAGGGCGCCGAAAAATTTCAATTGTGGAGATAATGACTGGTTGCATCCTCTGACTCATCTTCTAAGCTCGAAAAAACTATAATCTATGTTCGATGAATCAGAGAAAAATAACGCAGTATTACGTTTTCGAACGCGATCAATGAGCTTGTTTTTTATTACTTTTTTAGGAAGGCATCAACATTCGTTAATTTACCTTCAGTTAACCAAACGTACCTCAAAAATTCTTTAACGCTATTTAAAATAGATTTTCAAAAAAATAATCCTCTTCTATGACATTTAGGTCCCAGTATATTTATAAATGAAAATCAAGGCAAAGATCTAAAGTTCTCAGTGTATCTTAACATGTGATAAAAAACAAACTGTAAGTAAAACATAGAGTACCAAACTTTGAGATACTCAGAAGTTTGTAAGTTGGAAAAAGTAATTTAATAGTTGTTGATTGGGTACACCGACAAAATACTTGTTGCTTGACTTACACAACTTAACAAAGTCTAAAGTTAAACAGCATTTCTACGAGCATAAATGTTTTCCACGATACTAGTAATTTAATTTAAGACTGAGTGAAAATTCTTGTACAACTTATGACGTGATCGCTTTCATTGGAAAAATCATCATATCTGGATGGAAGAAGACGTGCTTGACTAATATTTTTTATCGGTTCACTGAGCTGTAGAACTGGAATCACAAGATTTTATGACAATTTAACTTTATGTAAATTTAATAACTGAAGGTAAAATGAATAATTTGATCAAACACGTGCGTTTACTTGTATAATTTTTGGTGTGACTTTATGCGCAGCTTCTAAAGTGCATTTTGTGTCTGCTGTCTGAAATCAGCGTCGAGAGAAACCTATTGAACCTCAAGTTCAAGAGATTCAATACTAAATTCTCCTCTTACGTTAAACTTCTGCTGGTCATTTTTTACTCAGGTTTTCAATACCTTTAAAGAATTCATTACTGCAGGATTATTTGGACCGATTTTCAAGCTTAATGAGCAATCAAGTCTAACGCAAAAGTAGTCGTAAACACTTTTTTATCCCAATACTGAATTTTGTGATATAAGTTTATGACTTAGACGATAAGTACCCATTTTATTTGTGTACTGTAACCCTAACCTAAAATATTGAACCCGACTAATTCGCTTTTAGACAAAATTTCGCTTATCTGCTGTTCAAAATCCTCCTAAGCAAATCTTAATGAAAATATAAATAAATAAATTGGAAAGACAAATTATGTATGACTGAAAACAACAGCCGCCAACCGCCGGCATGCTACCAAAATATTTTGCAAACTTTAATTACAATTTTATTATCATTATTTACTTTGATTTGAATCTATGTACTTAGTTATCTACATAATGAAAATATCGAACCTCTTAAGCACTCCAGAATTCGTTCTAAATTCAATGGGTGCTTGGAAAACTATCAGCTGAAACAGTACGTTCTGCGTATAATGAGTAAACTAACGGTTATATCAATTTGAATAACTTTTGTAGTCAATGCTTCCAGCTTATATTCTGATTAAGGATTTTTCAGCAAATTAAAAGATGCAGTATTAACCTCATACGTGTAACATTTGGATTTGGAATGATAAACCGAAACGTTTGCTCTCAAACTCCTATTTAAATTAATGATTGTTCTATATACTTTAATATTTCACAAGAATACAGACGGTTAACATTCATGTTTGTATAGAATTAATTGAGCAATTATATAGACTTGTGTCAAGATTTCTCTCATAACTCTTAGTACTAAGCAGAGTAAGCCCGTCAACGTCATCTTGATGGCTTTTGACAAACTTTTGTAATTTAAGCTGCACAAAAAGATGAGTTTTTTTAATTCTGATGGATTATTTTCAAAATGGTTTTCCTAGACATTAATCCCCACGTTTCATTGGGAATGTAGATGGTCAAACTCAAAATTCGAATCAAACTTTGTTATTGACGACAAAGATCGAGATCTGAGAATTTTTGTTTATGAATTCATTCAAATCAATAATTAACAAGAGTTTCGATAAAAGAATCTACGGATATGTATCGTCTTCAATTCCAGTTTTATTAACTTCTTACATGGTATGAACTTTTTGTCGAAGGTTGATTTTTATAAATGCTACACAATGTCGTGAAAATATTCTCAGTGGATTTAGTCACTAAATTCAGAGCAAAGACATCACTTTTTACGAAGGTCTTCAGAAAAATGTTAACACAGTGATTTGCAAGTAACCAACAAGAGGTTTTTCAACATCCTATCACAGCCGAACCCCATTTTATTCACTTCTCAGACTTGTATCACTTGAAACACCTAACTGGTTTTTAGCATATTATGAAGACCTTTGTAGTCTGTACCCTGTGATTCACCACACGAGAAATCTACCCAACTTCGAAACTTAATCGTTTTAAGTCAACTTTACATAATAGTTTTGGGGAGGGGACTTGAAATACTATGTTTGGAATTATCTTTGGGAATAATGATTTTGATACCTTGGACAGTAAACACATGCCAAACTTCAACAAAAGTATGATTAATTATTGCTTTTCTGTTTCACTGAATAACAACAAACGATCTATGTTTCCAATAAATTTGCTAGACCCATTTTCGTTGGAATTTATTTGACTCACCATAAGCTGTTGTTTTAAAACTATCACGTCCAGCAACACCCTAAACAAACTCACGAAACGTGTTAGTGATAAGAAATTCGGATTATAAAAAAATTATTCTAAGTGAATAAACACCTAATATAGCTAATGATGGACAGTATTCGATCTTCGGGTTCGAAAGAATTATGGACCCATAAAATGAGGTCAAAAGATCATCACATCGATTATAACATTTATTCTGAATCTATCTATGCTTTTATAAATGTGAATGTGAGAACAGCATAGAAAACATTGTCTCATATAATGGTCTTAACTATTTTCGTTCACTAATCTTCACCCTTATTGTATTAAACCTAACTAAATCTTGTTTTCTGAAAAAAATTTCAAAAGTTATGTGATTTTGAATTCGAAAATTAGGTTCTAACTCACCTTTCTAGGATATCTTACTTTTCCTTGAAAGGCGAATGATTTCTTCACATCATCTTGACTACTATGAGATATCCCAAGGTTTCTACTGACCGTTTCATCATAAGCTGATAAAAGGGAATAAAAGTCGGCAGCTCGAAAAGATGTGCGGTAACTAGTATTTTTGTCATAAACATTTAACATCCTCGGAAATTGAAAGCATATAACAACAGTTAAAAACGCTCATACCGTTCGTAAGCTATAAAAACAAAGATTTCTTCAATAGCGAAGGTGGTGTTACACATGTACAATTGAACCGGAATGTTACATTTATTTCGAGACTATTAATGTAATTTCAAAAAACATAAAAATTTCTGAGCGTTCAAAAGAATCAACAATCAGATTATTTTAATATTATTATGCATAGCAATTCGATCGACCTACATCTGGAAATTATCACTTTAGTGAGAGCCTCATGAACAACATTTATATCATACAAACAAACAGTAAGCCACGCAGTGTAAGAATAACTAAACTTCATAGACAGATTCAGTCTCTTGAATGCTTGCATGAATTACCAAAGTTCACTTTAAAATGGTGAAAATCGGGAAAAAAATCCTTAAAATTTTAGGTTCTGTAGTCCTTCAACATTAATGCCAACCTCATTAGTTCTACTAGACACGTCCTGGCTGAAGGCAATAGGTGCGTACGCCGTGCCACACATCCCTTGCAACTACTAGCCAGCCTGTACCGAAAGCTTCTCGATAGCTTTCCAAGTACATCTTTGAAACCCTCCATTCCTAACTTATGATTTGATTGGGTCGGTATGCTGTTAACATAGAGATGCCACGTGTAAAATGCGTTGTCAAGCCCGAAATATCTGCGGTATCTTGAGTGGTGGGCCCAACGCGATTTAGTTCACCAAATGATAAACTATGAGTCTGTTCCTCTTTGTAAGATTATATATAATAATGTAATTTTCATTTTTACATATAGTGATATTGTCATTGTATGTTCGGATGTTTTTTTCTAACTGCTTAAGTAATTTATTTTCATTGGGACACACAAGTTGTTGAAAATTAAGAATCCTTTGCCTCCCATCCTTCAGCCCATGCCATTTCGGCACGACAAAATCGAAGTTTGGTCCTCCAATGCAGATGCTAACTTCCACGAGCACGACGCGACAGAACCATGTGCACAATTCCTCTCAGTAGTGAAGGTGTAACAGTTCAGGTTGATTTGTTAAGGGCTGATCTCAAACATTTAAATATACGTCGGAACAATAGAGCTAAAGTATTCATTTACTTCCCTATTTTGTATAGGAATTGCATTTCCCACTACCTTATAATGAATGTTGAAGGGCTTCGTGTGTTTGAATAAGTAACCTGGCACTCCACTGTGTGCTACACTCGAGCTAAATAAAGACCTATTCACTACTAATCTGGTTTCTTCTATCAATAGAGCGAGGAACACCTACAGGCACGAAAGTAGTGAGCCTTGGACTGAACACAAATTTAGTTTCTATTTTCATTATTACCGTTATTATCTTTACACTTAGTTGTAAGAGTACACCCTTAACTAAAATTTCGTATGTATATTTATACATATTCTTCCTGCCGCAAAGTATTCGTGTTGTGGTCATTATTTTACCCGTTCTTACTGTAGTACAGTACTGATTGTATACCATATGTCAGACTCAATACAAACCCAAAGCCTTAAGCACTTGTCCCTGGTAGTGGTAGACACTGTTATGACTACGAAAGTCCTTTCCCCAGAATTCGATCACGGTTACTTTAGAATCCAAGCTAAGGTTTGGATTTAAGGGTAACTGTCTAGATAGTTTAGATACGCTCTATTGCTCATTTGGAACCAATAATTGTTCAATCAGTTATCAAATCAAGTGCAACAAATAAGTGTTGTTGTTATCCTTTCTGGATAGGTCACGTACAGACTTCTTAGAAAGATAATATTTAGTCACGCTATTAAACAGAATGTTTCCAACTCTCGAAGAGTGCTTCAATTCAAAATCAAAAATGCGCGATTCCAGTCAGTGCAAGCAACACAATCAAAGGAAGAACAAATCAATATGGCTAACGCCAAGACTAAGTGTCAACTAAAACAACATAAATGTGATTCAGGAAGAAACGTGGAAACTCAGTGAAAGAGTAAGGAGAGTAAAAGCTACAATAAAATACAAACATCACCATCTCAAATGGAATCAAAGACAATAACAGAACGTACAACTGAAGGAATCAATCGGAATAAGTTACATGTGTACACATGGATAGATTTTCACACAAAAACCTTCAAAATGGATCTTTCAGTGACCCCAAGTTGTGGTTTATTTAATTGGAACATTGTTTCACGAAATACCATATTAGATCTGGAAGAATTCGCTATCGAGATTTGAGTCCTATCCTCCCGCCTTCAGTCGCCAAAGAAGTCCGCAACTTGATTATAATTCCGCCAACACCACAACCATATATCACCTTGAAATGAGAGATAATGAATTACCTGTCCCTATCAGACGGCCGAAGAATTCGAAGGCTTTTCCAAGGAGAAACATTAGGTGATAGGTCACCACAGCTTTTGTATCACTTTGAAGTCTTTGTGGACGACAACACAATGGGTGAAGCAGTCGTGGAACAAGGATGGATAGAAGCTCTCCCATGCTGCGTTCAACATTGTTTGAATGAACAACATTATCACACTTTTTCAACTCACTTAGCTCGTGTCTCAGATTGAGTAATGGAAGGTCTCCCAACCGCATCACGTACAATTAGTCATATGCAAAAAGAAGGACCATCAAAAGACTCAGTCATGGAAGGACTCACTGCGAGTGTTAAGAGTTTAACACTGGCCGTCATCAAAATGCACCTAGGTCATAGAAACAGGAGTAGGTCATCAAAACGACTGAAATCAAGGTCATAGAACAAGTCACAATTGTTCAGACAATCTGGACAGTGCTGTTGGTATAACTGGAAGTTTAGTGTCGAATCAAACAAGTACATCCAGTCATGTCCTTGGTCCTATGCAGACACCCAAGGATATAGGAAACTCATAACTGCTCACCAGATTGCGACGACTGAGGAAAAGTACCTAAACAGTCGCTCGTTAATAATAATAATAATAATTTATTCTCAAATAACAGATTGTTACATGAGGCATGCCGGTTTACAGGCAAGATCAAATTGTTAAAGAAGTTACAATTTTCACTGTTGAAAATTACTCAGCTGGGTTGATATTTCATAAGATATGAATGTAAATGGATTTCATAAGAAACATGTCAATATCAATATCACACTTGGCGCACTTTATGGAGGTATCGTTGCAACATACAACCGATGGTCGAGAATAGATGCATGCGAAGTTGGGGCTTTTAGAAGTTTCGTTTTATGTTAAAGAAAGAAATTCAGGATGAAACGTTTTGGTGGATACTGGTGCTGCTCTTAGTATTGTTCCCCAGGACAAAACTGAGCTGGGCAGATAAACTTCCCTAGTTACATTCCAAGCTGCCAACAAAACTAAAATCACCAGGTTTTGGCAGAAAACATTAATGCTAAATTTTGAGTTCAGGAAGCAGGTCTTCTGTGTTTTCACTGTAGCCGATTTACATCTGGTAATACCGGAATCGAATTTTTCGAGAGATATGAATTTCCAGTTGACACTAAAAACGACGTTTGGCACTGAAAGAAACTTGAAATCACACAAAAGGCAAAGAAAGTTACATCGCTCCTTCACATTTTACACAAACTCCGCTGATAACAATGACAAAATTCCAGGCTTACTCGCCGAATTTCCAAATCTAATCAAACCGAACCGTCGGCCTCCCAAAAATAAACTGAAAGCAAGTCATGCAATGAAAACCGAAAGTGAAACCGTGTTTACTAGACTCAGGAACCAGCACTAGATAAGCTAAAAATCGCTAGAGCCTAGTTGATCTCAAACATCTAAATATACGTCAGAGCTGGGAGAAAGGAACGAAAATGGTGAGAGATTTGCAAACCTATGTGCCTTCAATAAACTGGTCATAGTTGGCACCATATTCCCACACAAAAATATACACAAAGCCACTTCGATTTCACCGGAACAAGACCTGAAAAAGCCAAGGCACAAGCCGAATACACAGAGGCAAACAAGCAAGTGAAGAGGAGCATCAGAACCGAGAAACGTAAATATGTGGAAGATTTAGCGATGACAACGGAAAAGGCTGCAAGAGAGGGAAACATGAGACAACTGTATGATACAACAAAGAAACTTGCTGGAAATTACCGTAAGCCAGAAAGACCAGTGAAAAGCAAGGAAGGCAAAGTAATCACCGATATTGAAGAACAACGAAACAAGTGGGTAGAACACTTCAAAGAACTCTTAAATCGACCAGCTCCACTGAACCCACCCAACATTGAAGCAGCACCCACAGACCTCCCAATCGATGTTGGCCCACCAACAATTGAGGAGATCAGCATGGCCATTAGACAAATCAAGAGCGGCAAAGCAGCGGGACCAGATAACATCCCAGCTGAGGCACTGAAAGCAAATGCAGCAGCAACTGCCAAGATACTCCACTTCCTCTTCAGTAGGATTTGGGATGAAGAACAAGTACCAACAGACTGGAAAAAAGGGACTTCTGATCAAGATACCAAAAAATGTCGATCTCAGCAAGTGCGACAACTACAGGAGCATCACTCTCCTTTCAATACCAGGAAAAGTTTTCAACAGAGTATTGTTAAACAGGATGAAGGATTCCGTAGATGCCCAACTTCGAGATCAACAAGCTGGATTTCGTAAGGATAGATTGTGCACAGATCAAATCGCAACTCTACGTATTATTGTGGAACAACCAATCGAATGGAATTCATCACTCTACATCAACTTCATCGACTACGAGAAGGCATTTGATAGTGTGAACAGGACGACACTATGGAGGCTTCTTCGACACTACGTCGCGTTTGAGAAGATGATCAATATCATACGGAACTCCTATGATGGACTAAACTGCCAAATCGTCCACGGAGAACAACTCACCGACTCGTTTGAAGTAAAGACCGGTGTAAGGCAAGGTTGCTTACTCTCACCCTTTCTCTTTCTCCTGGTCATCGACTGGATCATGAAGACGTCAACGACTGGAGGAAAGGCAGGCAGGGTGCAACTTGACGATTTAGATTTCGCGGATGATCTTCTATCACAAGCGACCAGTGTAGCGGCAGCCTCAGCAGCAGTAGGTCTCAATATAAACAAAGGGAAAAGCAAGACTCTCCGATACAATACAATATGCACCAATCAAATTACACTTGACGGAGATGCTTTGGAGGATGTGGAAACCTTTACATATCTGGACAGCATCATTGATGAACACGGTGGATCAGATGCAGAAGTGAGGGTGAGGATCGGCAAAACAAGAGCAACATACTTACAACTGAAAAAACATCTGGAGCTCAAAACAATTGTCAACCAACACCAAGGTTAGAATTTTCAATACAAATGTCAAGACATTTCTATTGTATGGGG